TTAGCAATTGTACCTACTCCCTGAAGTTTATTTGTAGCCCCAATATCAGTCCTTAAAGCAGTATCATGGTTATTTGTGGACATGCAGAGTGGCACAAAGTTTGAGTCGCCCGATGCACACGTTCCCAGCTGAGCCTGGACCAAGCATCACTCTCTGTGCTCACCTCCTGTAAACAAGCACCTTTCTGAGTTCTCTTTGGAGTCACATTGTTTGCATTTTCATTTTTACATGTCATTTGCATATTTGTTTTGATTTTATTGTTTGAAATGCACACAGCTCTTTGTCCAGCCTCGTTCAACTCCAATGTCCAGCCCTACAGAGAGCAAGCAGCGCTTTGAGTCCCCTGAAGTGCGCTGAAAGGGATGGGAACAGCTGCACTCTCCCCATGAGGGAGTTCCCGAGCTTCACAAACACAAAACTGGCCGCCTTCAGCAGCGAGAAGGACCCCAGGGTCCTTGACCATGCAGTGAAGACACTGGACTTCAACAGTCATAGGGATCTATGTTTGCAAGAATTTTTATATTTATTAATATATTTATTTATTTATTTATAGAGAGGCAGAGGCGGAAAGACAGACAGAGATGTCTTCCATCCACTGGTTCACTCCCCAGATGGCTGCAATGGCCAGAGCTGCATTGATCTGAAGTCAGGAGCTAGGATCTTCTTCCAGGTCTCCCCCATGGATGCAGGGGCCCAAGAACTTGGGCCATCTTCCACTGCTTTCCCAGGCCATAGCAGAGAGCTGGATCGGAAGTGGAGCAGCCGGGATTTGAACAGGCGCCCATATGGGATGCTGGCACTGCAGGAGGCAGCTTTACCCACTAACACCACAGCACTGGCCCAGAATTTTTTTTTCTTTTAAAGATTATTTATTTTAAAGGCAGAGTTACAGAGAATGAGGTAGAGGAAGGGGGAGTGAGAGAGAGATCAATCTTCCATCTGTTGGTTCACTCCCCAGATGGCCACACAGCCTGGTCTGAGCCAGTCTGAAGCCAGAAGCCAGGCGCTTCTTTCAGGTTTCCCATGTGGTTGCAGGGTCCAAGCACTTGGGCCATCTTCTGCTGCTTTCCCAGATGCATTAGCCGGGAGCTAGACTGGAGGTGGAGCAGCTGGGACTCAAACTGGCATCCATGTGGGATGCTGGCTCTGCGAGCAGCAGCTTAACCTGCTGCACCACGTTCTGTGTCAGGTGAGCAGACCTAATTTTGAGGATTACGTAAACAACTCCTCCAACCACTTTTGGGAGTGTTCTATATCAGGAGGGCAAAGCAAGCAGGGCCCTCAATCCTGCACTTTCTAGCCTCCAGAACTGTGAGAAATAAATTTCTACTCATCATGAACTAGCCTACCTGTGGTATTTTGTTACAGCAGCACTTGCACTGCATACAATTATTTCTTTTTTTTTTTTGACAGGCAGAGTTAGACAGTGAGAGAGAGAGACAGAGAGAAAGGTCTTCCTTCTGTTGGTTCACCTTTCAAATGGCCACTACGGCCGGTGTGCTGCACCGATCTGAAGCCAGGAGCCAGGTGCTTCTCCTGGTCTCCCATGTGGGTGCAGGGCCCAAGCACTTGGGCCATCCTCCACTGCCTTCCCAGGCCACAGCAGAGAGCTGGACTCGAAGAGGAGCAACCAGGACTAGAACCCGGGGTGCTGGCGCTGCAGGCGGAGGATTAGCCTAGTGAGCTGCGGCGCTGGCCTGCATGTAATTACTTCTAAGAACTTTATATTAAATGTCTGTAAACAGAAACACAAGGCCATGTATTAATGAAAATGGATTTGACCAGAGGCTCATGGGAACCTAACCGTGTTACACTGAGTGCAATTAATACATTCATTCCGCACATGCAGAGGTTTTACAGAGCACAGTTACCATGAAGAATGAGAACTATTAATTCACTGATGCAAGAAGCTCAACAAAGCCCAAGAAATAAGCACAAGGAAAATTGCTCATAGGTCCATCATAATCAGAACGATGAAAGCCACAGATAGACCTTGAAAGCAGCAGGGGGAGAATGAGTTTTACTCAGAAGGGAATAATATAAGGGAACAACCCACCTTGCATCACATACCATGGAGGCCAGAGATTGGGACTGCACAGTCAGAGACACAGGGAAAACCTACCCACCAAGGATTCGCAGGCCGAGGCTGGGCCTTCCTGCCCAGGGCTGAGCAGCTCACGGCGAGCACGAGTGGTTCTGTTTGTGACTCTGGGACAAGCAGCAGGTGCACAGATGCTGCGAATCCTCCGGGTGTTGAGATGGATCAGTCTCCTGCTGCCAGGAAGGGGAACGATTCCCCCACTGAGCTTCCTCAGCCCCGTGCTGGCCCCCAGAGGGCTCACACACTAGGACAGTGGTCAGGCCAGGGGAGCGACCTGGCTGCCACATCCCTGGCCTTGCCGTTGAATTCAGTCTGTAACGCCTGGTTTCCTCCTCCTTTGGGAGCTGTCATTTTTCTCTGGGTCCCATAATCCTGCCTTCCTTAGTCGTGCTGATGAGGTAGTGTTAAAACTTCAACTGTGGGAGCTAGCGCTGTGGCGTGGTAGGTTAATGCCATGGCTTGAAGTGCCAGCATCCCATATGGGTGCCGGTTCTAGTGCTGGCTACTCCACTTCTGATCCAGCTCTCTGCTGTGGCCTGGGAAAGCAGTAGAAGACGGCCCAAGTGCCTGGGCCCCTGCACCCATGTGGGAGACCCAGAAGAAGCTCCTGGCTCCTGGCTTTGGATCAGCGCAACTCTGGCCATTGTGGCCAATTGGGGAGCGAACCAGCGGATGGAAGACCCCCCTCTCTCTCTCTGCCTCTCCTCTGTGTAACTCTGACTTTCAAATAAATAAATAAATCTTAAAAAAAAAATTTCAATTGTGAACATGATTTATGTCATCTCAGGGGGAGGGGGTCCTCAAATTTTTCTTTTAGTAACGGAATCCAACTTCTCAGCAGAACACATTCCCAAAGACTGCATTATTCAGATATGGCCATATGACTGCTCTAGTTCATGTTCATCCCCAAGAAGTCAACTCAGTAGGGAAGCAGCAGTTCCCTTCTTCCCCTCAAGTGCCCCATCCCGCTGCTTGGAATACGGGTGGTGGATGGATCCCAGCAATCACGCTGAAACACAAGGATAAGGATGGCAGACAGGCGAGCTGGAAGGCTCCTTGGTCTCTGATGATTTCACAGAACTGCCACCTCGCCCTGGACTACCTCCCAGTGTACAAGTATTTTATCTGCAATAGCTTATCTTGCATACCCACCATCTTAGACTGGGTAGCTGAAACAAAGTGCCTTCGACTGGGTAATTTACACAGAGCTACTGCTGATGGTTGTACAGGCTGGGAGGTCCCAAACCAAGACAGCGGACTTGGCGTCTGGCGAGGGCTCATCCCACCTAGGTGGTGCTTCCCCACCGCGTCCTCACGTGGCAGAAAGGTAAAAAGGACGAACAAGCTCCCTTGGTCCTCTTGTAAGGCCACTGATCCCAGCCAGGAGGACACCACCGTCATAACCTAATCACCCCAGGTTTCACCGCAGTGGGGACTAAACTTCAGCATACAACTTGTAGAGGGACACAGACATGAAGCCCATAGCACCCACCTGAGTTTTCTATCACATGCAACCAAGAAAACTTGAATGGACGGTCAACAATAAGGAGGGGGGAGAAGCTTGGGAGATGCGGGCCAAAGAGGGGCGGTATTCATTAAAGAAACTGGCTCCTACTTTCCACAGCTCCGTCCTAGCCCATCTGCTCCTACAGATGTGTGATGGACCGAGAGGAGGGATGGGCGTGGCTAGTTCTCCCACGAGCCGAAGGAAAACAAGAGAAGCAGCATGCGGAGAGAATGCAGGAGCTCCAGCCCCCGCAGCATGGCAGTGGATTCTCACCCTACGGCACACTGCTGTTTTTGCTAACCCATGTTCACACGTCCCTAACCCTCTCACCAGGACAGAGTGGGTAACATTTGGACACAATTAGGAAAGCACATTCCTGGAAGAGGGGGTGGTCTTTGGTTTCATGTGGTTTTTGGTTTGGACAAAGTTCTTATCAGGAGTAACGGCCAATGACATGCTTCACAGCTTCTGGCCCGTTACCCAAGGTCGCCCCTTGGATCGGGACTCACGACAGATGCTCCGCAGAGACACAGGGCCTGCCAAAGAGGGGATGACCCGGATCAGCAGAGACAACACTGTCTGAAATGGCAAACTGAGTTTGCTCCCCCAATTCCTCGAGATGATGAAAAGAAACTGTACCTTTGGTGGGTGTGCCAAATTCTGTGGAGCTGGATGGATCTCGGTGGGCACTGTGTTCAGTCACTGCCTGTGATTTGAGCAGCCTACTGCACAGTGGGCACGAAAAAAAAACTCTGGGGGCAGATTACATAGTTCCGAGCCAAGCTCTTCACCTCTGTACACCTCACCTTCCAACAGGGGTGCGGTAAGGGTACACTCTTCGTGGAGCCCTGGCAAGGCGGATGCAGTCCACAGAAGGGACTTGGATGTTTCATACACGCTAGCAGCTCTTCCTGCCCACCCACCTCCAGCAGGACTCACAGGTATTTACAGGCCCACCTTGAAATACCAAGCTCCAGCCAGTGGGTTCTCTAGGCAGGCAAATCATCTGAGCCCTCAAGCGTGTCCTGGGTCTGACACCAACAGCTAGGAGACACCTGAATATTTCGTCAATGGGGCCAGCACTGTGGCACAGCGGGCAGAGCCAATGCCTGCAGTACTGGCATCCCATATGGATGCCAGTCCAAGCCCCACCTGTCCTCTTCTGATCCAGCTCTCTGCTGTGGCCTGGGAAAGCAGCAGACGATGGCCCTAGTGTTTGGGCCCCTGCACCTGCGTGGGAGACCTGGAAGAACCTCCTGACTTCAGATCGGCTCAGCTCCGACCGTTATGGCCATTTCGGGAGGGAACCAGTGGATGGAAGACCTCTCTCTCACACTCTCACTCTGTAACTCCGGCTTTCAAATAAATAAATAAAAAATATTTTGTCAGACATATTTCTCAGAATGACTGTATTTTTAAGCATTTTATATACATCTGTAAGTGTACATATGATGAATTTTCTGTACATGGATTAAGTAGCTATTTAGGGCTAACATCAAGGACCTACTGGAAAATCTTTTCAACTCAAATGTGGGAAATAAGACAAATCAACACAGGAAACAAAACCATGCAGACGCAGAAGGGTACAGTCTTCCCTCCCTTTAGGTGGTCACCCCAGCGCAGGGCACTTCCATCCGTCACGGACGGAGCTGCAGGTAATGGGGCCCGGCCCGTGTGCGTGCTGCTGCTGGCTGCGGCCTGGCTGCCAGCCCTGGCACCATCCTCCTCCCATGAAGACGCCCTGGCCACGGGAAAAGCGATGGGCCTCTTGCTGCCGACTCCTCCACAGTGGACTCACTCTCCTTGCCTCACAAGAACGTCAGAAAGATCTTCTGTTCCTTCCAGCTTGAGATTCTGGGGCACGATCAAAAACACACGTGGACTTTGGTATATTGAGAACAGAAGATCATGAAACAATTCTCAACCGGGTGGTAAGGCAGTGACTACGTCTGCCCTCACCCCGACCCGAGCATTCAACCCAATCCCAGGCAGCTGCTTCCCTCAGGACTACAAGGCGGACCTCAAAGGTTTTCTGCAGCTCAGGGTCGGGGAGCTGCTTGGGTTCAGCATCGAGCATACAGTGCAGGAGCACAGGGACACCGAGGCAGAGGGCCCTCACCTGGCAATGGACTCCCAGCCCCCTTGCTGCTTAGCTGAGGGGAAACTATTACTTGAGCAGGGGCCAGGGAGAGCAACAGACCTGAGAAGGAAAGCCCAAAAAAAGGCCCCCTCGGGTCTCAAGTGTCTCAGAACATCTCTCTTGGGCAATGTAATTTCTGAGTTATCAAAGACCCACGCAGATGATCACAATGTCACGGCCCTGTTGCAAGTACAATCTTCTGCCCAAAGCCAGACTCAAACATCAGTGCTCAGCCTAACAGGCCTTGAACTGCGGCCACTACCCCACCCTTCAAATGCTGGGAGCGCTGGCCCCACATGAAGAGGCCTGATCGTGGCAAAGTGAATAGAGCCACACTGTCACCGCAGCCAGAGCAGGCAGACTTACAGAAGCCACAGAGCCAGCAGCAAGCAACCAGGCAAGGCCAGAGGACTGCTCCCTCACCAGGGAAAGCTGGGTTTCTGTGGACACACACAGTCCAGGGCAGGGCTCTGATCCTCAGGCTGGGGCGAATGAGGCCTCCGAGCTGCGGAAGCTCCCTCTGCTTAGGAGCCTGCTGTCGGTGTGGGAACATCTCCAGTGTGGACATGAAGATGGAGTGAGAACTGAGGTTCCAGACTATCCCCGGCAGCTGAGTGGTGCCACATGACACTCGCTCAGGCCCCTGCACCCAAGTGGGAGACCTGGAAGAAGCTCCCGACTCTGGCCTGGCCCAACTCTGGTGGTTGCAGTCATCTGGGGAGTGAACTAGCAGATGGAAGGTTTGTTGATCTTTTTCTTCCTCTCTCTCTCTCTCTGTCCCCTTGTTTCTCTCTGTAACTTTCAAATTATTAAGTAAATCTTAATAATAATAACAAAAGCCAGAAGTCCCATGTTGGCATGCAGGAAATCCTGGGTGCTACCACCAGCTCCCTGCCAACATGTAACCCAACCACACCTCAAAGGCCAGCAGATCCACCCTGCAGGGCCTGATGGGCAGCAGCCACCAGCGGTGGTGTGCGGGGCAGCTGCAGCCTGCGTAGGCGCAGTGCTCATCGCACTGCTGCGGCCTAGCCCAGCTCTGCGCTGTGGACCCTAAAGGACACCAGATGTTCAGCAGAACTCAAGCACAGGTTGACTGCTGGCTGCCCTCACTGCAGTGCGCCTGGACAGCGCCCCCAGGCTCCTGGGAAGACGGCTCCCCGAGCCGCTCAGCTATCTGCCTCTCTCCTTCCTGTGACACACGGTTCGAGTCCGAGACTTTCTCCACTGTCCTCGGCAGCCCCAGCGTCCTGGCTGCTGCCGTCCTGTTTCACTGCTCACTCTTCCTGTAGCAGCTTTCCCTCCCCCTTCCCCCTCTTTTCTCCGCCAGGACCCCCACATACCTTGACTCTGAAACCCAATGAAGTAAAACATACTTTATGTTCTCAGGTCGGGGAACGGACTGATCATAACTTCACTGTCCAGAACTTTCCCCTTTGGGTCCTCTTCACTAGTTTCACTGCTAATTAAACCTCGTGGCCTTTTCCGAAGTTACTTCTAGGTGCCTGGTGAATCCCTTGGGTCGCAGATACTACACGGGTCACTGTATTTAAGATATCCCACAGGAGCCGGCCCTGTGGCGCTGTGGCTAAGCGTCCACCTGTGGTGCCAGCATTCCATATGAGTTCAAGTCCCAGCTGTTCCTCTTCTAATCCAGCTCCCTGCTAACAGCCTGGGAAACCAGGGGAAGATGGTCCAAATACTTGGGCTCCTGCACCCACGTGTGAGACCCGAAGAAGCTCCTGGCTTCAGATCAGCCCAGCTCTGGCTGTTGTGGCCATTTGGGGAGTGAACCAGTGGATGGAAGACCTACCTGTTTCTCCCTCTCTCTCTGTTTCTCTCTCTTTCTGTCTGTAACTCTGCCTCTCAAATAAGTAAATCTTAAAAAAAAAAAAAAAAAAAAAAAATCCCACAGTAGCCCATAAAAGAAAGACTTAATAAAAAGCTCGAATGACTCGACACAGAGAATATTCCGATTCTTACGCTGGCGAGAATTACCTACCTTTTCATTGGCTAAATGCAGGAGGCAGGCAAAGGCCAGGGGAATGGAGAGGTTCTGAGCCATGAGTGGGGGCAGGCTGCAAACAAAGGCGCGAGTATTTAGCTGCAGCTCTGAAAACAAAGGCTCTTTCATCAAGTCTGAATGATACACACACAACGACTCACGAGAAACAAGAAATATTTCAGATGCATTTTTGTCAGTTTCTAGTTCCGTATTTGGGAATAAATTATCTCCTTTTTCATTCCTGCCATTGGCACAGAAAAGTGCCTTTTACACATTGGCCTTTATTAACTTAATTATCAATGCAGAGAGGAGACAGGAAAGCTATTACACTGTGCAGACAGGCAGTGCACAGAGGGCCTGTCCCACTAACCCGCGGCTGAGCACTCGCGGCCAGGGCTCCCAGCCAGGGCTCTGAGCGCTGCCCCGGCGCCGGGCGGCACGCACCTCCTCTGCAGGTTCTGGGTGAGCCCGCTGAGCAGCTTCTCGCCGGCCACCTCCGCCGGGGCCTCTTCCTTCCCAGGTTCGTTGTGGTTGGCCTAATGGAAGAAGCACACGTGCAAGTCAAGCATTTAGGGGTAGTTCACTTTGGAGAGGGCAACCGAAACCTGTACAGTTGTATGCCCAAAAAAGCACAGTCCACCTCTGCACGGAACGAAAACAATTTCCGAGTTAAATCTGAAGAAAAAGTATCTGGAAGGGGAACCAGAGCCTCAGCCCTGGCCTGACACCGACAGTCACTGAGCTACAGTAAGCCAAGTGGCGATGGCGAGTGTGGTTCCGCAAAGGCCTAAACTGCATCGAAGCTTCTAGATCCTCCAAAAAAAACAAAAATAAATAACAAAAGCTAAGGTGATTTAAAGCCTCCACTGGACAACTGGACTACACAGCTAAGGGCAGCACAAAACAATTTGAGCTTTGCAGTAAGAACAAAGGAAGAACAAGTGGCCTGCTGTCTCCCTGCTGCCAGGCAAGCAGCTATGGCAACTTTGCACAACTGGGATTTGCATTAACATGAGATAGGTGCATGTGTGGGGCATGGGAGGGACAGGACTGAGTGAGTACCAGTGTAGTAAAATGTAGTAAAATGTTGGTTAGTTTTTAGAAGTGGGGGTTCACTATATTAGTCTGCTATTTTTTCTACTTTTGCATGTTTCTTTTTTTTAAAAAATTATTATTTGAAAGTCAGAGTTACAGAGAAAGAGGGAGAGACACAGAGATCTTTCTTTTTTTTGACAGGCAGAGTGGACAGTGAGAGAGAGAGAGAGAGAGAGAGGTCTTCCTTTGTCGTTGGTTCACCCTCCAATGGCCACCGCGGCTGACGCACTGCGACCGGCGCACTGCGCTGATCCGAAGGCAGGAGCCAGGTGCTTCTCCTGGTCTCCCATGGGGTGCAGGGCCCAAGCACTTGGGCCATCCTCCACTGCACTCCCAGGCCACAGCAGAGAGCTGGCCTGGAAGAGGGGCAACCGGGACAGAATCCAGCACCCCGACTGGGACTAGAACCCCGTGTGCCAGCACCACAAGGCAGAGGATTAGCCTAGTGAGCCACAGTGCCGGCCACAGAGATCTTTCATCTGTTCATTCTCTCCCCAGATGGCTGTAACAACCAACACTAGGCCAGACTGCAGCCAGAAGCCAGGAGCCAGGAGGACCTTCTTCCAGGTCTCCCCTGTGGGTTGCAGGGGTCCAAAGACTTGGGCCACCCTCCACTGCTTTCCCAGGCCAATAGCAGGGAGCTGGACGGGAAGTGGAGCAGGCAGGACTTTAACCAGAGACCACATGGATGCCAGCGTTGCAGGCGGTCGCTTTACCTGCTACACCACATGTTTATTTTCTAACAGAAAAGTTTAAAAAAAAGAATAAACTTATAATGAGGCAGAATTCCAGGCGGAGAGGGTATCAGCAGTCAATTAAAAGTTAAGCTGGGATGGCCGGCGCCGCGGCTCACTAGGCTAATCCTCCGCCTTGCGGCGCCTGCACACCGAGTTCTAGTCCTGGTCGGGGCGCCGGATTCTGTCCCGGTTGCCCCTCTTCCAGGCCAGCTCTCTGCTGTGGCCAGGGAGTGCAGTGGAGGATGGCCCAAGTGCTTGGGCCCTGCACCCCATGGGAGACCAGGAGAAGCACCTGGCTCCTGCCTTCGGATCAGCGCAGTGTGCCGGTCACAGTGCGCCAGCCGCGGCAGCCACTGGAGGGTGAACCAACAGTAAAGGAAGACCTTTCTCTCTGTCTCTCTCTCACTGTCCACTCTGCCTGTCAAAAAAAATAAATAAAATAAAAAAAAGTTAAGCTGGGGCAGGCATGTGGCAAAGCAGTTAAGAAGCTGCTTGAGGGGCTGGCGTTGTGGTGCAGCGCGGTTAAGACACCGTGTGCAATGCCGGCACCCATATGAATGCCAGCTAGAGTCCTGGCTGCATAACTTCCAATCCAGCTCCCTGCTATGTGCCTGGGAAAGCAGCAGAGGATGGCCCAAGTCTTGGATCCCTGTTACCCACTGGGGAGACCTGGATGAAGCTCCTGGCTTTGCCCTGGCCCAACCCCAGCTGTTGCAGCCAACTGGGGAATGAACCAGCAGATGGAAGATCTCTGTCTCTCTTTCTATAACTCTACCTTTCAAAGAAATCTTTAAAAATAAAAAGCACATTTCTCTGACACTTGCACCCCACTCCGCTTTAACTGAGAAGTCCTGATGAATAAGACTGTGGCTTCCTGATATGTCCATGACTACAGAGCTTAGAGACAGTGCAGCATCTACAACCAAGTCATGAACTTTTAATCCTGGGCCAGCAGGGCGTCTAAGGGATTAGGCTGAGTGGGTAGTCCCTGAGCAGAATGTGTGTGGATTCCCGTCAATTGAGATGTTCAGTGACTGGGACTGAATTAATAAAGGCTTTACCTTGTTTAACAAAGAAAAATCTGACAGCATAATTTTTTACTACTTCCCTACTGAAAATACATTCCCCAAGTCAGAATTACTGGATCGAAAGATTTAAATATCTTACGGCACTTGAGATGTAGTGCATTCTAACTATCAACTTAAAACTGAAAGCACAATGAATAGTACTCCAAATTTTCCTCAACTCAGAACAGGAAAACACTGTTTAGTTGCCAAACTGCTGTTGATTTAATGCAGCATGAAGACGCCTTCCTCTGTGTGTCCTGAGTGCCAGCAAGGCCAAGTGATGTCCTACACACTCGTCTGCCACCTGCATCACCTTCTGAGCGACCCGCCCGCTCACTTCCCCGAGAGGCACGATGTCTTCCTTATATTCGAATGACTCCGTGGTGGAGCCGCTGACTGTGAGGAGGCGTCTTCCGGCCACAGATGCCCCCCCCCCCCCCCCCCCCCCCCACGGCAGGAGCCCAGCAAGGACGCGGGGCACTGCTACCTTTGTGTCTGCTTCCGTTCTGGAAATCTCTGTCAGCAAACTCCACATGCTCTGCTTCAGCTTCTTCATGTCCATCTTCTTGGCAGTCTTGGCATACTGAATTTCAATTTTATTTACCTAAAATAAGTAGAAGACAAAGGAAAACTAAGCAGAAGGAGAGAAAAAAATCTACCACCAGCTTACTGTAAGTCTGGAGTTCACCTAAAAAAAGGAAATCAGCTTCACCAAGAGTGAGAGCTTTGTTTTAGACAACTAGAGTCCCTCGTGTCAGATCTAATTATGAAGAATCTATATTTACCTGCAATTTCAGTGTAAAAGAGGTAAGTGGACCACATATTAGCCAAAATACCAAGCCCGCACCCTGGCGTGGAGTACACAGATGTTTAATGCATGCTAAGTTAACGTGAACTGAATGTGCCCCAGATTTCTCTGAGCCACGTGGGTAGCCAGCCTCACAGAGGTAGCACACACTCCGTCTTCCCTGCCTGTAGCCTCTGCCCACACCTTTTATTCGGGTGATCAGCTCTCCCTGAGTGGAATGGGAAAGATGGGCTGTTCCACACAAAGCTAACTAGCATCAGTTCACTTCCACAGCTCCAGTCAACGTTCATCCTCTGGCACACAATAGGTTAAAACTGAGGCGTGGGGTTGGTGGGGGGATCAAGCTCAGACCGGTGTGACTCCCACAGAGGAGGCAAATGAAAGACTCCGGGCACTTAATGCAACTCACCTTCTGAGGCTCAGCCAGCAGATTGGAGTCCCCGTACGTAGTGATGTCTAATCGTGGGCCTTCAGGAGTGTGGCCATTCTCTTGTGTCGTCTGAGGATGAGCTGTCAGGTCAAAGTCTCCGCCCGGTCCCACAAAGTTGTCCGACTCTTCATAATCACTGTCAGCAGCCTGGGCAAGGGGACAGCTCCAGTCTGGCAGAAGCTGCCAGAGGGGCTTCAAGACACCCCTGAGACAGACTCCGTGTTGACCACCCACACTCGTTAAGTGAGTCCTGCCAGGGTGGACTCCCAGCCGCCAGTCACCTTCCTGTCCCACACATGGCCAGCTGGGAGGGATCTGTTATCTAAGACCCCTGGACCAAGAGTTAAAAGGAATTCAATAATCACAACTGCCAGTGTCCTCTGTGACAGCCACCCGATTTAGGGCTTGATTTTACTGAAGGCACTCCCAACACCTGAGGAGTGCCCTGCATTCCTCACCCAGCACAAGAACTGGACGTTGCGGGGCCAGACAGTCGGCAGCAAGCGCTCACTACCTGGACTATGCCCAGAGTAAATGGGTTAGTACTTGGGGTGGAGGTGGGTGTGGGCAGGAGTCAGTTCTAATAAGCTTCCTGGGTGATTCTTGTGCACAATAAAGCGTCAGGGGCAAAGGTCAAGAGATCAGTCTGGGTTTTCACTAAAACATAGCAGCCTACCTCTCCTCCAGCTAAGAAAACAAGGTGAACACCTTCTGCGGTTCTTCTCTCCCTCCCCACATACCAGGCCTCAAATGAGCCTTACTATTTCCCCCTTTCTGTTAATTTTGCGATCCCATTAGCAGACTCACAGAAGGCAAATGGAAATGACTTGGTCCAAACCAAGATCTAAAAAAGAGCAGCAGCTCGTACAAGTTCAAAGCGTGAGAACCAGGACGAGAGCTAGAAGTGTGGTCTTCTGAGACACACCCAGAGGCTTCCCTCTGCCCCACTAGCACACATCACCTTTACATGTCTACATGTCCTGTCTGTCCAACTAAAACACTAGCACCTAACAGCAGGAGGACTGTTCGTGTTTCTTCGAAAAAAATCCCCAAACAGCCCAGATCTCTGCACTGCTCCATCACTTGTAGACTCATTTACGGGCGTGTGTGCCCTTGCTTCCTGCATACAGGGCTGTGGTAAGGCAGGCCAAGTCGGGGGCTGGTCCCTCAGCTCTGCTCAGTTCCTCTTCTCAGCACAGACCCTGTATCTACAAAATTTCCATCAGATTCAGAATTTCCTACAGCTTCTGCTACGTAGAAGCAGGGAACACGCCTCTTCTCCCCTTTACCTGTAACCCAGGGCAGAAGTTGGAGGTGTCGTTTGGGTTGTTGTAATCATAGTCTCCGAGTTCTTCATAATGCTCAGCCTTTGCCTCCTGGCCCTGGGCCACCTTAAGCAACTAGAATACAGGAAAGAACACATGCAGAAGGCAATGTCTAGACGATTTCTAGAAGAGCAGCTGCTAACGACATTGGGGAAAACAGACTTCAGTTCCTATGCTTGACTTGCTCCTAGAGTTAACTGTACCATTCAAGCAGAAGGGCCTGCCCAGTTGTCCAGCACCCAAGAACTCATAATGATGTGACCCCTGTATGTCACTGTGCCCACTTTTTTTCTTAAAGATTTATTTATTTGAAAGGCAGACTTGAGAGAGAGAGAAAGCTCTTCCACCCACTGGCTCACTACTCAAATGGCTGCAATGGCTGGGGGTGGGCCAGGCCAAAGGCAAGAGCCTGGTACTCCATCCAGATCTCCCACATGGGTGGCAGGTACCCAAGCACTTGGGCCATCTTCCTCTGCCTTTCCAGTCACATTGGCAGAGAGCTGGATCAGAAGTGGAGCAGCCAGGACTCAAACTGGTGCTCATACGTGATGCTAGCTTTGCAGGCTACAGCTTAACCCGCTGCGATACAACACCCCCACACGGCTTCACTTCTATACCGATCATAAGCGAGGCAGTGTGAACGGCACAAAGCTCCCGCTGAGTGGTTCTACAACCCCCGTGAGAAAGTCAGAGTGTCAAGCAATGATGAAAATGTGTGACTCCCCCCAGAGGGCCATATTTACCTCCTTGGCATTTCAGTGTGGAAGCGTTAGTGCCCGGCTTGCAGCCAGGTAAGGGATTTCTAAGTCTTGAGTGAGCACCTGTCCTACAGCTTTCCCTTTAGCGTGGCCTGACCCATCTGCTCTCTGGCACCTGCCCTTGGCTCGCACACGTTCCTCCTTGTGCTCTTCTCTCCACCACCCGCCCGAGAGTCACGTTACCAGCCACTTGGCGCCACATGTGCTCGGCAACAAGAGGCTTAAGGGAACTGACGCACAGCCTTACCCTGATGCCTGGTTTGAGATGAAGCTGCACCAGAGTGTCAACCTCATAGAGGAAATCTGTAGGAAGAGTGGTAGCCTTGCAGTTCTGGCTCTCCAAAGTGGACCTGGTCAGAACAGTAGCAGCCTTTAAAAAAAAAAAGTGCTGTTTAGGGGTCTTGAAAGATGGACAACACCTCTCATCTCCTGGAAAGGAGCCTGGGAAAGGCCTGGGCAGCCTCAGTGTACTCTCAGGGTCCCCACCGGTCTGCGCGAAAAGATGATTCTGCAAACACGGTTCTCCGTATTCTAAACTTGGTTTTTTCTGCTACTGAGTTTGAGGCTATTTCTAAACAGTCCTTTAGAGAACAAGGGAGAATGAAGCCATGCATTTACTCTAAAGTTAAACTTAAAATGGAATTTTAAAAATCACATCTGAAAGGGAGAGGGCTGCAAAGAGCAATTTTAAAAAGCACAACTGCTAATAGATCCAGAACGAACCTTTGTTTTTCGAAAATACACATCAAAGTCAATATCATCTTCAAAGTCAATCTCAAAATCCTTCTTCGTACTCTTCTTTCTGTTCTCTGACTGAGAGGCAGAATCTTCTGCAGAGAAGAACACAGATGTCAACGCTGCTCACTCTGTGGCCTACATGACAGCCTCATCAACCACAAGACAGCTTTTGTGCCTGAGCATTGTAACAGCAGGAATGTTACACCATACACCTCATTTTTGTCCTAAATGTATAATGTGTATTTTAACAAAACTCATTAAAAATGCATGCCAATGCCTTCCTTTGGAAGAGCAAATACAAACCTCACAATGCTGGCCCCGCTCTGCAGAGAGCGGGAGGGGGCTGCCTGTGCAGTAACTCGGGACGGGTATCCCCAGAGCCCTGGGATCAGTACCACCCAGGGCCACTGTCTAAAGTCACGGGGATACTAGGGAGCAGTGCAAGGTCCCGAGCCCAGTTCTTCTGACTCTTCCTGCTCAATTTTAATTGCTTACCCAAGCAGGAGGCTGCCTCACCTTCAAAAAGTTCATGCAAATGCACATTACGGAAAAGTTAGGCATGGGGTTCAAACAAATCTTGCATCCATATAAACTTCTTTCAGTGCTATTTTTCCATAAACTTTTTGAAGTGCCCTGGAATGAGTCATCAGTTTATCAGCAGGTGCACAGGGCAATACTGGCATTTCCCTTCCTCAGCTAACCGCTGACGGGTTGGTCATCTGCACTGCCTCTTCAAGTTCCACATAGAAATACTTACGTTTGGGTCGAGGCCTAAAGCGCCAGTGATCTGGGCCAGCCCACATCTTCATGGTCCGGGGACTGAAATAGGAATATTCTCCAGGTTTCATTGACAGCAGGGGGCACATGGTCCTAATGTCTCCATCTCCAAGGGAAATCACTTCCTCCCTATAATGCACATGAAATCATATTTGTCTATGTTCAATACAGTTGGGTATTTAAATGTAAAGAAGCATATATTATCAACGGAAACGCTAACAAATTCCCCAAATGAATGGCATTTCTAAAAGTCAATCCAGTATTAATATTTCATCATTGACAATCCTTTAATTCTTACTTTTCAAGTGTTTTTGGTCTCTTCACAATATAGTCATATCTATATACAAGTACTTTGGATATTTCAATGAGCTTCATAAAACACTAGTCTATTCTTTGAGTGACAAGAAAACAGGTGTAGACATTAGGTTGTTACATAAGGCTCCACAGCTGGTACAGTGCCAGAGCTGGGAGCCGGACACACTCCTGGAATCTCAGCCCTGTGGTATACAAGACTTTTTGGACAACATAATCCCTCCTTTTTTTTTTTTTTTTAAAGATTTATTTTATTTATTTGAAAGGCAAGGTTACAGAAAGATCTTCCATCTGCTGGTTCACTCTACAAATGGCCAAAACAACTGGGGCTGGGCCAGGCTGAAGCCAGAAGCCGGAAGCTTCTTCTTGGTCTCCCATGTGGGTGCAGGGGCCATCTTCCACTGATTTTCCCAGTCACACTTGCAGGGAGTTGCACTGGAAGTGGAGCAGCCAGGACTCAAACCAGCACCCATGTGGGACACAGGTGGCGGCTTTTCCCACTACGCCAGCCCCCACCTTCTTTATTTGCCGTCCATCCATAAATGAGGGCTCCAATAGAGAGTGTCATAGTTCTTAATGAAAGTGAGAAAGATGTTAATCCAACTTACACTTTAAGCTCTCAAAAGCTTTCAGAACTCTTTTAGTCTGTTAAGTCACCAGCTTTATTCTTTGCTGTGTGTGAAGCATCTAAGTGGCCAGTCCAGGAAGGTAGTTTTGGTTTGGTCTTTCACCCTTTCTACAAAGTGCTAAAACATGGGAGGCGGATTTTCCTAAAAGGTTTCAATGTGTAGAAAGCCAGTTAGTGCTGCTATACTGCCCCCTAAAGGTAAAAGAACAGGAAACTTCAGAGAATGCCTTCATAGTGTATTGAGCCATACATACAAATGCCCTTTAAATCAAGCCCTACACAAGGGGACCTCAAAAAGTTCATAGAGGGGGCCAGTGCCGTGGCGTAGTAGGCTAAGGCTCCGCCTGTGGCACCAGCATCCCATAACGGGCACCAGTTCGTGTCCAAGCCGCTCCTCTACAGCTTATGGCCTGAGAGGGCAATGGAAGACAGCCCAAGTGCTTGGGTCCCTGCACCCAGGTGAGACCCAGAAGAAGCTCCTGGCCATTGCCACCATTCGGGGAGTGAACTAGTAGATGGAGGATCTCTCCGTCTCTCCCTCTGTCTGTAACTCTGCCTCTCAAATAAATAAATCTTTAAAAGAAAAAAAAAAAGTTAAGAGTGGCAGGTGTTTGGCATAATGGTTATGGAATGCCAATCAGACAGTCTGGGTTTGCATTCCAGCTCTGCTCCCAATTCTAGCTTCCTGCTAACACAGAACCTGGGAGGCAGCAGCAATGGCTCCAGTAGCAGCTTCTCCGTCGCCCATGTGGGAGATCTGGATTGCATTTCTGGGCCCCCGTTTTGTCCCAGCTTAGTCCTGGCTGTTGTGGGGATTTAAGGATTGAAGCAGCAGATGGAAGCTCTGTTTTTCTCTTAAAAAAAAAAAAAAAAAAAAAAAAAAAAAAAAAAAAAAAAAAAAAAGGCAAAGCAAAGCAAAGGCCTTGAATGTAATTGTGATGGTGGCCTGTGGCATGGACCACATGCACACACAACCAGGCCCCTGGTATTAAAAAAAAAAAAAAAAATGTTCTTGGAAAAATGGCATGAAAAATAAAATAAAAAATAGAAATTTACTTATCATGAGCTCCGCCAAGCCTAGAAAACCTCTGTAAGTGATGTGCAGCCATTCAGTCCACCCCTAAAGAATGGAGCCTGGGAACTCTGACCACACCAGCCAGTCTTACATGATTTTCTGAAGAAAAACAGGGGCCCTGTACACGTGCTTTAGGATCAGGAAACAAAGGAGTCAGCAGGAGCCCCACCAGGAGCAGCTCCCAGATGGCCCTTGCTGGCCGAGGAGCGGGCAGGGGTGCTGCTGTGGTGGAGGCGAGCCTTGCTCTGGCGCTTTCGGTCTAAAGCTCTTGTGCCTGCAGCTGACGTGGGCACAACAGTTTCGGCCCCCACCGTGCACAAAGTTTTCTCAGCTTTCATTTTTTAGCCGGAACTGTGTGAACTACACCAGGAGAGATGTGTACGGTGTTGGCTGCTGCTTCTGATTGCTTCTTCAGCGATCTTCATCAGTTAGGGCATGAACAAGATCAACTTCTCCTCATGCAGTGCTATGGATAAGCTGCTCTGGAAGCTGCATTTCAAAACTGTCCCATCACTTTTTTTTTTAATCTTTATTTATTGGGCTGGCACTGTGGCCCAGTGGGTTAAAGCTGGGGCCTGCAGCTCCAGCATCCCGGCTGGAGACCTGAATGCTCCATTTCCGATCCAGCTCCCTGCTAATGTGCCTGGGATAGCACTGGAGGATGGCTCGAGTGCTTGGGCCCCTGCACCCACATCGGCAACTAGAACAAGCTTCTGGCTCCTGGCTTCGGCCTGGCCCAGTCCTGGATCAGAAGTGGAAGAGCTGGGTTTTTTTTTTTAAAGATTTATTTATTTATTTGAAAGTCAGAGTTACATAGAGAGATGAAATGGGGAGAGGGGGAGAGAGAGAGGTCTTCTATCTGCTGATTCACTCCCCAGATGGCTGCAATAGCCAGAGCTGCGCCAATCTGAAGCCAGGAGCCAGGAGCTTCTTCCAGGTCTCCCACATGGGTACAGAGGCCAAAGGACTTGGGCCATTTTCTACTGCTTTCCCAGGCCACACCAGAGAGCTGGATTGGAAGTGGAGCAGCCGGGTCTCAAACTGGTGCCCATATGGGATGCTGGTGCTTTAGGCCAGGGCTTAACCTGCTGTGCCACAACGCCGGCCCTAAGAGCTGGGTCTTGAACCAGCACCCACATAGCATGCTGGTGTCATAGGTGGTGGCTTAACATGCTACACCCCAACGCTGGCCCCAAAAGGGAGGACTTCTGCTCTATCCATGCAATCTTTTTTTAAAAAAACAAAAATGGGAAATTATATTTATGTATTCCTATATAATTAAAATACTGTAGAAAAAGTATCACATTCATAGTCTCTAAGACCTTGCACTACAACAGAATCTGATACCCAGCCCAAGGACTCAGGAACAACGAATGTGCTACATTGTGAGTCCGAGGGAGTCAGAGGTGGCTTCAGTAGCGCCCCGACTCAATTCTCAGGGATAGGGATATTTTTCTGTTGAAGCTTTACTGGTTGGGGTTGGCGCTGTGGCATGGCAGGTTAACACCCTGGCCTGAAGCGCCAGCATGCCATATGGGCGCTGGTTCTGGTACTGGCTGCTCCACTTCCGATCCAGCTCTCTGCTATGGCCTGGGAAGGTGGAAGAGGCCCAAGTGCTAGGACCCTTGCCACCTATGTAGAAGATCCTGATGGGAGCTCCAGGTTCCTAGGTGCAGCTCTGGCCGTTGTAGCCAACTGGGGAGTGAACCAGCGGATGGAGGATCTCTCTCTCTTTCTCTGCCTCTCTTCTCTCTGCCTTTCAAATAAATAATTTGAAAAAAATAATTATACAGTGGCTGTCCCCTGCACCCTCCGAGAACCTCAGCCTACCACCCAAAGTGCACTATGTACGGCTGGCGCTGGGTGACAACCGGCTTCACCCTCCGAGCCTGTTGCCTGTACCCTCATCTGTAGAATGGGGGTAGCAGTGTCTAGTTACAGCGTGGAGGAAGCATTTACTTTTATGGAGCCGGCATTGCAGCGTAGCAGGCTGACTTGCCGCCTGCAGAGCTGGCATCCCATATGGGAACCAGTTTGAGTCCCAGCTGCTCCATTTCTGATCCAGTTCCCTGCTGGCGTGCCTGGGAAAACAGCAGAAGATGGCCCAAGTACTTGGGCCCACTGAACCACGTGGAAGACCCAGATGACGCTCCTGGTTTCGGCCTGGCCCAGCCCTGGCCATTGCAGCTATCTGGGAAGTGAACCAGTGGATGAAAAATCTCTTTGTAACTCTGCCTTTCAGATAAATTAATCTTAAATAAATTTGTGTAGTACATAAATTGTGAAAAATGAATGTAAGGTAATTGGCACAGCATCTGGCACAAAATCAGAACAATGAGCTCAATATCAGATACTACTATTTATATCTAGTCCTACTTCTTCCTATGGCAGAAACAAGACCCCCCCTCCGCCAAAGCAATGACATCTCACACCTCACCACAGAAGGGTCAGGTGCAGTCCAGTTAAACACTGAGTTCTCGGGAAAGCCCAGAGTGATGCCAAGATGGGACTTAAGGATGCACAGAATCTTTGACTAGATCCACTGCCTCCTGCTCCTAACGCACCCAATAGGAGAAAGTCTAAGATTCTGTGTCCTTTGGAACTGGGAAGAGAAATGAAGACATTGTTCAAAATTCTCAGCAGAAAACATTTTCAAAAAAACAAATTGGAAGTCACTGAAGCCTCCTGTGACCATCAGACCCTCAGGTGTCACTTCACTGTGATGTGAGGACACATGACCGTTCTTTTCTGATACTTGAAAATGGCATTAGAAGAGTTCATCCCAAGGCAGGCATTTGGTCTGGCAGTTCACCTGCGATTTGGGATGTCAGCATCCACACTGAAGAGGCTGGGTGACAGCTCAAGTACTCGGATCCTGCCATCTATCTAGGACACCCAGAGGGAGTTCCTGGCTCTTGGCTTTGGCCTAGCCCAGCCACAGCTGTCGGAGGTATCTGGGGAGTGAACCAGTGGATGGAAGACTGTTCTCTAACACTCCCTCTTTCTCTGTCATTCTGCCCTTCCAATAAATAAATAATAAATAAATAAATCTTTAAGAGAGAGAGAGAAAGGTGACGGAAAACTCCTCTGGACCCTGAGAGCCTTACTGGCAGCTCTGGACTTGGCAGGGCTCCTTCCAGCTCCTGAGCTCTGTCTGATCACCAGCGGCGCTGTGGTCGGGTTCATCATTGGCATCAAAGTCGTCCTCGGGGGGCCCATCAGGGAAGTCCTCGCACTCACTCTCCTCCACCTCGGCGTTGATGTCGAACACCTGATCGTTCTTCTTAAACTTGTCCACCAGGGCCGACACAGACTGCAGAGACACAGAGGGTTCTCTAGCTCTCCTCACTCCTGCGGTCACCCAGTTCACCTTCCAGGGCCAGTTCCAGCCCGCTCCTTGCCCAGCCCCGCCTCCCAGAGCTAGCCTTCTCGGGACAATGACGCGCTGGCTGGGGAGGTTTACATTGTGTGGCACAGGATGGAGCTGTATTGTCATCAGGCACATTTTGTAAAACATGAAACAGGAATCTGCATCCATTAACTACATGTTTAGGGAAAACAATTTGCCATGGAGACCATTTGTTTTGGAGGTTGTAGTAAGTAGGCCAAAGGGGGCTGTGCTAAAAATACCCAGAGGAAAGCTTCACCCGGGGCCATTTCTCAGGAAACTGTGTGCCAGGGGACTTAACCCCAAACAGTAGGAAATTCTTCGAGCTTGACAGTAGCCTAAACACCAAAGCCACTGGGGTAGCCACACTCAAGAGTAAATCTGATTAAAAAAAAAAAAAAAAAAGGCATTCGCACACGGACAGCAGGGCCGCCTCCCCCCAGGGAAGCAGAGGGGGCATGAGGCTGATCCCAGAGTTCACGCAGCAGCGTAACGGCCCTGCTGCTTCACAACCCTGCTCTTACCCCCTGCCCAGCTCTGCATCCTGCAGATGTGCCAAGGGAAATATTTTTTGTTCTCCTGGTTAAATACAAACGATGCCACAGTTTTGGTTCCCACTGGGCAGAACTAATCTTGGGCGATCCAACTGAAACCATGAAGCACTGGAAAAATTCCCAGAGCCCTTATAAGTCCAAAAGTTGACCACACCTCATTATGGGTTTCACTGTCCCACTTAGTGAACTGGAAGCCGGCCAGGGAAGGGCAGATCTGGCGATCTTCCACACACTGCTGCAAGGGAGCTGGAGAGGACAGCAAGAGCACACATTAGACTGGGTCAAGTATGCTCCCTGTGCCTTTTCTGTGGAGACGAAGGCCTGCAGTCCCCTCAGCGTCCTCCACAGACTCAGTGTCAACACTGGCCGGCAGCTGCCCTCAGCAGTGAGCAGACGCATGGGCGCACACCCACACGGCAGTCAGCTGGCATGTTGCCATTTCAGAAAATGGTGAAATACCACAGGAGAAAGCCGAGACACAACAGCTGGTTCTGAAAGGAACTCTACCCTGCACTATAGTTAAGAAATCAAAAGCCCTTTCTCTTGGGGCAGGTGTTGTTTGGGAACAAGTGAATCCTAAATAGGAGTGCTTGGGTTTGAGTCCTGATGCCAGCTTCCTGCTAATGTGCACCCTAGGAAGCAGCAGGTGACGGCTCAAGTACTTGGGTTGCTGCACCCTATGTGGGCGACCTGGATTAAGTTAGCAGCTTGTGGCTCTGGCCTGTCCGGCACCACTGTTATGGGCGTCTGGAGAATGAACCAGCATATGGAAGATCTTCGTGTCTCTGGCTCTGCCTTTCAAACACATATGGTATAGTGGGTTAGGCAGCCTCTTGTGCCTGGCCCTCACACCTGCCTGCACCTTGCCACCACATCCCAAGTGCACAGCAGAGAGGAAGGAGGGCGGGGATGCGAGAACCTCTGCCAGGCCAGCATCAGGGGTCTGGTAACAGGACAGGCCCCAGCAGACTAAAAACAGGGCACAGCGCCCTCTTCTCGGGACGCCAGGTTGGGAGCACATAAGAACACGCCCTCTCCAGCCAGACTGAGGTCTCTTTAAGGCCCCTTCTCAAGTCCAAACCCTGGCATTACGGGGTGAGCCCAGAGCTTTGGCACGTGAGTTCCACGGCACGTAAAACAAGGAGGGAATGGTTTAGTGTTTGGCTCCATGCTGCAGAGAGGAAAACGTCAGCGGGTGGCTAGACACTGCCAAGACACTCAACTGGCACCGCAGAGACTTCTGGGACTTGAAGCAGTGTTAAGGGCAGAACGGATTTATCATACCCGACGGTTACACAGAAACTTCTCTGATGACAGAAAAGCCCCAGCGAAAGGCATTATTTGTACTTACCTTTTAAATCTGTCATTTCTACCCAACCTAAATCTGGGAAGTGGAGCGGCTCTCCTGGGGACAGGGTGTGCGCTTCGGAGGGGAAAAGCAGCTCACTCCTGTAGTCATGGCAGCAGAGGGTAGACAGAAACACCCCTGCCGTGCTACACTCGTCAAACGAGGCCGCTGTCTTCTGGAACATGGGATCGATCTGGACCGGACAGATAGAGGCAAAGAATCACCACACGCAGCTGAGGGAAACACTAAAGTGTGCTCTCCCTGGATTAAAGTATCTCTGCCAGTGATCAGGAGGAGAACTTTCTAACTGGCCAAGTTTAAAACATAAAAGAAAAGCCCTACGTGGTCAGAGTGCAGATTACATGCACACTGTCCGGTAAGACAGAAGATGGTGACCAGCACAAACCATGTCAACCTGTGTACAGTGCGCCCTACATGCCTCTGCTGGTCTGGCTTCTTCTTGGCTGAGTGAACCCTGGCTGTTATGGGCATCTGGGGAGAGAACCAGCAGACACAAGATCCCTCTCTCTCCTTCTGTTTCTGTGCCTCTCAGATACAACGACAATAACACCTTAAATAAAAATAAAAACAAAATCCTTGACCTTACTTCCCCCTCCATTTGCCATCCCATTAGTCTGCTCCTACAAAATTCTTTGAAACCACCACCCCTCACCTCCCATTATGAAAAGTTTCAGGCCTATAAGAATGTTGAGGGGCTGGCGCTGTGGCACAGTGGGTTAAGTCATGGCCTGCAGTGCTGGCATCCCATATGGGCCCTAGTTCAAGTTCTGGCTGCTCCACTTCCCACTGAGCTCCCTGCTGATGCACCTGGGAAAGCAGTGGAAGATAGCCCAAGTGCTTGGGCCCCTGCACCCATGTGGGAGACCTAGAGGAAGCACCTGGCTTTGGTCTAACCTGGCCCAAGTCATTGTAGCCATCTGGAAAGTGAACCAGCAGATGGAAGAACAATCAATCTCTCTCTCTTTCTAACTCTGCCTTTCGAATAAACAAATCTTAAAAAAAAAAAAAAAGTCCAAAGAATAGTAGTACTCATCTCTGTGTGACTTCAACCTAAATTCCTCATGGCTTACAATTTGCATTTGCTCTCTAGATAGACAGACAGACAGACACAGATAGAGCGAGTGCATGACACTTCCCCTGTCTGCCAGTTTGTGTCTTCTCTCCTCTGCTTAGTTGCTGACATCTTGGCTTTGCTAGCTAGTCCCTCCTGGGCTCTACCAATAGGGGGCACCAGAGAGAGACTGCAGGGCTTGCTCTCTGTCCAGGTTTCCTGGCTGTGGAGTGGGTCCAGCAGTGCTTCCTCACAGCACGGCATCAAAGCCCACCTGGAACTGCAGCTGAATCCGATTTGCCACTTTCCCCCACTCCCTGAAGCAGTCTCACCGTGTGTCCCTCAGAGACACCAGCCAGCACGCCCCACTCAGAGGGCTGGGCCAAGGACCCACGAGCTCCTCCTCCAAGCTCAGGACACCAGCCCCAGGCAAGCAGCAGCCTCTCCTTGGAGGTTCAAGTGTCAGCTGCAGGGGGAACTCCTGCTCCAAGTTCAGCAGCGACCTTGGCTTCCCCCTCCCTGAAACTCCTTCTCATTTGGATACTGCACGTTCCTGGTTTAATTCAGCTCTCGGAACGCCTAAGATCAGGCAGCCAGGGCTCAGTCCTCTTCCACACTCACTCACTCCCCGGGCGATCCACTCCACTCTGACATTAATGAACACTCCGGGAACTGCAGACTTAAGAGAAGGAAGTAATCTAGTCCATTGCTGGCAGAAAGTAAACAGGGAGAAACTTTTCTGAGAGCACGGCAGTTACACATCTCAAATTTTTCTCATAGACTTCAAGAAGCATGCAAAAATAATAGGTACAAGAACATTCAGTGAAATGCTTTGAACAGCAAAATTTTTTTTTTTTTTAGATATTTAGATATCTTATTTACTTGAGAGGTAGAGTTATAGAGAAAGAGAGGGAGAGACAGAGAGAAAGGTTTTCCACCTGCTGGTTCACTCCTGAAAATAGCCACAATGGCCAGAGCTGGGCCAATCCGAAGCCAGGAGCTTTGTCTGGGTACAGGGGCCCACGTGGGTACAGGGGCCCAAGTACCTGGGCCATCTTCTACAGCTTTCCCGGGCCATATCAGAGAGTTAGATCAGAAGAGGAGCAGCCAGGACTTGAACCAGCACCCATATGGGATGCTGGCACCACAGGTGGAGGCTTAGCCCACTATGCCACAGCAACAGCCCCAACAGTGAAATTCTTAAAAGCTGTCACAACACTGGTTTGCTTTAAGGTAACTGTACTAATTACAAAAGAGGCCTCCAGTACCATTTCTGTAAGCAGATTCCTTAGGATTTGCTATATGGTAAGGTCATCTAGAGGACACTTAGCTCCCAATCCTAGCCAACTCACTAGATGTGTCACCGTGGGCATGTTAGTGAACACCCTGGGCCTCGGATATTGCTTCAGGAAAGCAGGACAAAGGTTGTGAGGATTTAATGACTTCACATGGGCTGTAGGCTTAGGGAAGGACACAGCACGCAGTGTATGTACAATAAAAGCTAGCTCTCCTCACCATTGCTCCATGTACTAAGAAATAAAATCAAACTTTTGAGTGCGATTCCTCAGTAATTTGCAATCTTTCTGAAGTTCTATGGGACTTCCTCCTTCAGTGCTCACTATACAGCTGAGAGCTGCAAATGCAGATGCCAGTTAAATGTTTCACTTCCTTGAGGCTCGGGCAGGCACATCCCAGCAACGCAGACCCCGTCCTGCCCAGCTTCAGCCCTGTAGGCGTAGTCGGTCAGAAACCACGCTGCACAGTTCCTCACCTCGCACTTGCGGTCTGCTTCAGAGACGTTGAGGTTGCTTACGTTCTGCTCGATGGTCTTGTACGAATGCTTTTTCTTTGGCTTTGGAGCCTTTCTGGCTGTTCCTGTTTCGGTTGCACCACTATCTACAAAAAGGAATAGACTGTGTACTGCAAGGACGCCTCTGAAGCCCATGAAACCCTCTTCAAAACCCTAGACAGCAGCCACAATTTAAATAGGTGTGCTTCTCTCAAACAACAGAATAGCTGATCCGCAGCTTAGGGAGAAACAAACTACCAGAGCAAGTAACTGCCTTCCATACACGCAACGTCCAGAGCTCTCCCTCTCCCCAGGTCAGAGGCTGCCTTGCTGGTGCGGTTAACTCAACTTTTCCTAAATCAAATCTAACAAGTATTACAAGGCCCTTCTCTTTTTCAAAGAAAGATAACTCTAGGGTTTGACTACCTTCTCATGCAAGGTCACACCTGATTGTGAAAATGTCCACGTCTTCAGTAAGAGGACAACCCTGATCTCTTGTCACCTTGCTCTAGTACATCACTCAAGCATGGAATGCTCTAAAAGAAACCCCGTAACTCCAGAGCCCAACCGAGTACCTGTGGCGTGCTTCTCTCCTTCCTCAGCAGACGGCGCGTCTTTGCCCAGCCCGCCCAGGACTCTGTACACATCTGCATGGACAGCATCCACGCGCACAGCATAGATCTTGGTGCTGGCATCCAAGGTGCCAGCAGCCACCTAGACAAGCAGAGCTCTGTCCATGAAGATGCAGAGGAAAACCCCTTCGGAACAGGTAAAACTTAGCAAGCTTCAGGAAATACTTACTTGCCCCAAGGAAAAAAATTATTCCCTACAATTGGTAGGGAAAACATTTTGTAGTAGCTTCACTTGAATTTCCTGCTTTATAAACCAATTTTTCTATGTATTATAGGCAGAACGCATGGACTGGCCTCTTTGGCACGATCCACTTGGTTTTACTAATAAACTCATACTCTCCCAGTGGAAAAAATACATATAAGTAAAATAAAGCAAAATTCATAGGGGATAAAGACAGCATGTATCTCCTCTGCAATTCTTCAGTTCAGGAGAGAAAGTAAAGTAGCAACCACAACGTCTAAATGAAGGAGGCGCTCATGTATTTGCAGAATTCAACTGTGTTACACCAAGAGTCAGAAATAATCATCAACTCAGACGCAGGAGAAAGCAGACCCACTTCTTACTTTAAAGTTGGTTGGCTCGGTGTCTTTCTGCTTCAGGATCTCTGACATAAAATCAATCAGGTGCAAGCCGAAAGCATTCTTGGTAGTGATTTTCTGGAAACAGGAAATTGCAGAAAGAGTTGTTGGTTACAGCCGAGGCGTGTGTGAATGACGCTACCCTGAAGACAGGAGGCCGAGTGTCTGTACAGGAACCCATGTCTCGCCACTGTTCTCACTTCCCACAAATGCTTGGAAATGGAGCCAAATGCCTCACTCTCAAGGCCGATAGAGGGGGAACACGACTCCCAGTGCTCACTTCCTGTGGCACCTGCTCTAAGCATCATACACAAAAGGCCAACTCTACGAGGCAGACACCATCCGCAGCCCCACTTCCTGGGGAGGACTCTGCAGCAGAGCAGTGGGGTGACCCGGCAGGCTAGCTCCAGAACCCTACTGCCTCCCTGCCACCTAGCTCCGGAACGCTCACCACTGACCCCTACGCCAGGCTGCCTCTCCAGATACACTGCCGGTAGCCGCAACCTGTGAGCCCCATAGCAAACAGGGAAACCGCGCTGAAAACACCGGAGTCACTGGGAAGGAAGTAGCTGTCAAGGGGCACATGTTCTCTACAAGATCAAGAAAGCTGTGTGACTCAGTGACAAGCCAGCTGATACTCACATTTTCTGTGGACAGCTTGATACAGGTGGAGTAATGCTCTGTAATCTGCGTGTTGGTAAACTTAGGGATTGTAGCTGACACATCAATACTCCTAAAGGGAAAACAAAAGCCAGAAACTCCAGCAAGGATCCTGATGCTGTAGAATCCACGGGGTACCCACGGAGGAGAGCCAGCCCCGAAACGCGCTCACCTGCTGGAGGGCGAGGCTAACAACCGCGGCGAGTCTGTGCTGAACTGCAGGTCCAAGACCCTGGAGCGCCTCCGCTGCAAGCGCTCCTTCTCGTCGTCATTCTGAGGGAAGTCTTGAAGCACCGGGGTGCCAGGCGTGTTGAGAGAGGCCTTCTTGGGCAGTGACATGGACAACGCCCGCTCGGAAGGCGAGCAGACACTGAGGGGGTGTCCACGGATCTCTGAAGAAGAGTTAACTCGTTATGGCTGGCAGATGGAACAAAACACCTGCTCAAGAACCCTTTAACTGCCTGTACCAAACGGGACTTGGGACCGTCAGCGGGGAGGTTCACGGCACATCCCTACCAAGAGCTCCCCCAACTCCATTACTGCACGCTGGAACCTTTACAGAGCAGTGATCTTGGCGGTGGGGGAGGGCAGCACAGACACCCACTCTGCAGCTACGGTGAATCCAAGGACTGGACAGGGGAAGACAGATTAGACAAAGCTGCTGTCTCAAACTCACAAACCAATGGGACAACAGACACCTATGAGGGTTCAAAAAGTTTGTGAGAAAATTAATTAGAAATTTATTTTGGAGGTGAGCATTTGGCACAACTGTTAAAATGCTCACACCCCATACTAAGTGCCTGGATCTGAGTCTGGCTCTGCTTCTGATTCCAGCTTCCTGCTAAAGCAAACCCTGGGAGGCAGCAGATGACGGTTCAAGTATGTGCATCCCTCCCACAATGGTAGAAGACCCAGACTGAGACTGGGGTTCCTGGCTTCAGCCTGGCCTGGCCCCAGCTGTTGCACGTATTTGGGGAGTAAATCAGCAGAAGAAATCTTTCTCTGTGTCTCCCTCTCTGCCATCTTCCTTTCAAATAAAATGAAAATAAACAAATTTTTAAAAGTTCATTTTGGTAGGGCCAGCACTGTGGCACAGTAGGTAAAAGTCCTGGCCTGCAGCTCTGGCATTCCATATGGGTGCCAGTTCAAATCCTGGGTGCTGCATCTCCAATCCAGCTCCCTATTAATGCACCTGGGAAAGCAGCAGAGGATAGCCCAAGTGCTTGGGCCCCTGCACCCACATGGGAGACCCAGAAGACACTCCTGGCTCCTGATCAGCTCAGCTCTAGCCATTGTGGCTATTTGGGGAGTGAACCAGTGGATGGAAGACCCCCCCCCCTCTCCATAACTGTCTTTCAAATAAATAAAATAAATCTTTTTAAAAAAAGTACATTTTGGTGTCAAACATTTTTGAAACCTTGGGGCCAGCATTGTGGCACAGCAGTTAGACTGCCTCGGGCAACACCAGCATCCCACGATCAAGTACCAGCTGCTCTGCTTCTGATCCAGCTCCCTATTAACCCACCTGAGAAAACAGCAGAAAACGGCCCAACTACTGAGGTCCCTGCCACCCACGTGGGGAACCCAAACGGGGTTCCTGAGTCCTGGCTTCAGCCTGGCCCAGCCCCAGCCATTAAGAAAGACATTTGAGGAGTGAATCAGAGAATAGAAGACCTCTTTCTCTGTCTCTCCCTGTCACTCAGCCTTTCAAATAAATCAATCTTTTAAAAAATTAATTCATGGAGTTTTTTTTAATAAATAAAACTTTTATCAAAAACTTTTTGAAGACTCCGCTTATAATCCTTAGTGCCAGGTAAAGGAGAGACAGAAGCCAAGACAAGGGTGAGGTTATGGGCTAGAGTCAGACAAGCTGGGTTCTCATCCCAGTTCCGGTGTGTCTTGATAGGGAGATAGAATAAGCATACGTGTATAAACTAAACAGAACATTACAGAGAATCACCACAGATTACTCACTAACCGCAAATGCCTTTCAAAATGAAAGCTCTGGCAGTCACACTGACCAAGCAGTCAAATGCAGCCTCACTAACAACGAGCCAACCTGAAGCTTACTCAGCTCCTAACATGACATTAGGTCTAACTTCCAGTTTGTAGAAAAAAAGCAAGTAGCTGGGGGCCAGCACTGTGGTACAATTAGCTAACCTGCTACCTGTAGTGCCAGCAACCCATATGGAGTGCTGGTTCGAGTCCTGGCTGCTCCACTCTGATCCAGCGCCCCATTAATGCACCTAAGGAAGCAGTGGAAGATGGCCCGAATACTTGGGCCCCAGACACCCACAGGGAGACCTGAGTTCCAGGTTCCTAGTCTCAGACTGGTCCAGCCCTGGCCTTTGCAGCCATTGGGGGATCTCTCTCTCTCTCTCTCTCTCTCTCTCTCTCTGTGTTTCTGTATGTGTGTGTGTGTGTACTTTCCCTCTCTCTGAAGCTCTATCTTTTAAATAAATTAAAAAAAAAAAAAAAACAGCAAGGAGTTGAGAAGCAGGCTAAATGATACCACAAGGAAACATTTAGACAAATTCATAATGTAGCTTAGTCTCTTAAAATACCAATGTTAAGGGGCTGGCACTGTGGCGTAGCAGGTAAAGCCACTGCCTGCAGTGCCAGCATCCCATATGGGCACCAGTTTAAGTCTCAGCTGCTCCACTTCTGATCCAGCTCTCTGCTATGGCCTGAGAAAGTAGTGGAAGATGGCCCAAATCCTGCACCCACATGGGAGACCTGGAAGAATCTCCTGGCTCCTGGTTTTGGATTGGTGCAGCTCTGGCCATTATGGCCATCTGGGAGTGAACCAGCAGATGCAAGACCACCCTACCTCTGCCTCTCTGTAGCTCTGACTTTCAAATAAATAAATAAATCTTAAAAAAAAAAAAGTCAATGTTAAAACAAAAAGACAAAGTAGGAGGACTGTTCTGGATTAAAAGGAACTAAAGAGTCATTTAAACCAAAACAACATATGAGTTTTCGGCCAACTGTTGGTTAAAGAATCACTATAAACAACATTTGGGGGATAATTAGAGAAATATGTAATACAGTCTAGACACAACATTAGCAAACTGATTTTTTAAATTTAATACTTATTATATATATTTGTACAGTTACAACAAAATAATGCTCAAGGAGCTGGCGCTGTGGCATTGCGGGTAAAGTTGCCACCTGCAGTGCTGGCATCCCATATGGGCACAGGTTCGAGTCCCAGCTGCTCCACTTCTGATACAGCTCTCTGCTACGGTCTGGGAAAGCAGTAGAAGATGGCCTAAATCCTTGGGCCCCTGCACCCACACAAGAGACCGAGAAGAAGCGCCTGGCTCCTGGCTCTGGATCGGTGCAGCTCCAGCTGTTGTGGCCAACTGGGGAGTGAATGGAAGACGTTTCTTTCTCTTTCTGCCTCTGCTTCTCTCTCTGTGCAACCCTGACTTTCAAGTAAATAAATAAATATTAAAAATAACAGTCAATAAGTTACATAGCTGATGTTTAAAAACACTGCAAAAAAGTAATGATAAAACAGTAGGAAAGCAAATTGATTTTTATTGTCTTACGTGTGACAGCAATATTATGATTATGCAGAATGTCAACACTGTTAGTAAATGCATAAGAAACAATTTAGGGGTGAAGTACAACTTACTTTTAACTGAATCGGTCAAAACTCCCGTAAAGTATAGATGGCAAAATGCTAACAATTGCTGGATCGGCATCAGAGCATCAGGGTCTTATTGTATCAGTCTTTCAACTTCCCTGGATGCTTGAATATTTTCATAATAAGAAGTTAGAAAATATACGGCACAGAGCCAAATGCTATGAAAAAAAAGTTTGTTTTTTTTTTTTTTTTCTTCAAAGCAGGAGGTGGGAGGTCAGGAAAGGCTCTCTCTTGGGGAAACAGGTAGGGGAGCAGGTACAACAGACATGTGGATGTTCTGGTTTGATTATTTTTTTTAAGATCTGACAGGTAGAGTGAGAGAGACAGGGAGAGGGAGGGTTCACTCCCCAAATGGCCGCAACTGCTGGGGCTGGTTCAGGCCAAATCAGGAGCCTGGAGCACCGACCCGGGTCCCCGCCGTGGGTGGCAGGACCCAAGCACTTGGTCCATCGTCCTCTGCTTTCCCCAGCACAGCAGCAGGCAGCTGAAGCGGAGCAGCTGGGACTTGAACTGTGCTCCTATATGGGATGCTGACGTCAGAGTCAACAGCTTAACCCACTGTGCCACAACGATGGCCCTGCTTTCATTTACTCGGCAAAACAGAAGTGAACACAAAGCACCAGCAGCTGAGGGGAGGGTGGGAGAGACGGTGTTAGAGGAGAAAGGGGAGGCAGGAAACAGTGAATGAAACAGGGAAGCAGCGCGGCTGCTGGGTAGCTCTAGGACCCCGAGACCACTCAGCGTGGCTGGTGTTTCTCTCCCACCATCGTCAGGTGTGCGGGGCAGGCAAGGTCGGGATTAGCCAGGGTTGTGAGAGCGGTCAGTGAGCAGTTATGAGGAAGCCAGGAGGCAAGGGAGGAGTTATGCGGACTTAGCAGGGATGCAAGCCAAGATGGGACCAAGGATGTGCGAGCGGTGAGCGACAGGGAGAAGCAGAATATAGGTCTGCTGGATCACAATACTGTCAGAGCCGGAAAGACAAAGGTGGCACTGAGAGGCAGGGTATTGAAAACTGAGATGACGGAGTGATGGGCTATTGTTTAATGACAAGGTCTAGGGTGCGACTCTGGTAGTGAGTGGCTATGGTCCACTACAGTGGAGCAAGAAACAGGATCCCTGGAAAACAAAGGAAGAACTGGGAGACCGTGGGAGAGTTTGCAGATGTCAGAGTCAGAGACCTGGCTTCAAACCCAGCTGTCTCTCTTACCAGCTGGGGAGAGGTCAAGTAAATGCTCAAGGCACTTGCTGCTTCATCTTCCTAATGGGAATAAGGATAAGGATCCCAGCTGGTTCAGAACTGGTGATACAGAAAATATGCAAAATCTATTTTATAGGAACATATTAAAAATGAAGGGACGGGGCAGGTATGAGTGTTTCGGCTGCTGGTTTGGATACCCACAGCCCTAGGTTCAAGTCCTGGCTCCATTTGTGAGTCCAGCTTCCTGCTCACGTGGACCCTGGAAGGCAGTGGCAGTGGTGGCTCAAGTAGCTGGCTTCCCTCTACCCATGTGGGAGACCTGGATTGTGTCCCCAGCTCCTGGTTTTGCCCTGGCCCAGTCCTGGCCATTGTAGTCATTTGGAAGGCAAACCAGCTGATAGGAGCTCTGTCTCTCAAATAAACAAAAATAAACATTTTAAAAGTGATACATTGGGGCCAGTGCCAGCGCTGTGGCATAGCAGGTAAAGCCGCCACCTGCCGTGCCGGCATCCCATATAGGCACTGATTCAAGTCCCAGCTGCTCCACTTCTGATCCACCTCTGTTGTGGCCTGGGAAAGCAGTAGAAGATGGCCCAAGTCCTTGGGTCCCTGCACCCACATGGGAGACCTGGAAGAAGCTCCTGGCTTCCGGCTTCGGATCAGCGCAGCTCTGGCCATTGCAGCCAATTGGGGAATGAGCCAGTGGATGGAAGACCTCCTCCGTCCCCACTTCCCTTCTAACTCTGCCTTTGCCTTTCAAATAAATAAATATTTAGAAAAACAAAAGTGATACATCAATGAAACAACAAATAGGAGTGATGAACAAGGATAAAACAAGAACCTCACATGTTCCCTGGTGACAGAAGAGTAGGACTAAGTAAACTCTCACCTGAGGTCAAAACAAACAAGAAGTCAAAACAGGAAAGAGGCAAAAGACATTTTTAGAAACAAAATCAAGAGGACTTGTGACCCTTTGGAGGCAGGCACTGTAGGGAGCTGGACCTTGGGACAAGAAACCGTAACAAACAGTACTGAAGGGAGCACCTGTCCCGGAGGGAAACAGTTGAGAACGAAAGGCAGGTCCCAGCTCCCCAGATCTTTCCCTGATTGCGTGTCTCTCTCTCTCTCTCTCTCTCTCTCTCTCTCTCTCTCTGGCAGCATTTGAGACAGCTGCCGACTCCGTCCTTTTCGGAACCACTCTTGGATTCCGCAATACCTCTCTCTCCCCAGTTTTTCTACCCTCTTCTAAATGCTGGTCCCAGGTGCACTCTGGCCCAGGTCTTCCTAGCGTTCTCAGCCGTCGCCATGGCTTTATGATCTAAATGACGATGACCAAATGTCTCAGTCCACGGGCCTAAGGTTCTAAGAGGCCAGGGATTTTTAATCTGTTCTTCTCTTTACATGCATGCACGCTAAACATACAGTGGTAACCACAGCCGTGCCGCCGCGCTGCAAATGACAGACATCTCTCCCGAGAAATTCGCCCGTTCAACGGCCAGAAAAGCCAGCAAGGTGCAGGGCCGCGGAACGCAGGAGCCGGCCAGCCCCGCGCGCGCCCACCGCCCGCCGAGCCCTCGCCTCCCCGTCTCCGCGAACCGGGCCGCGCTCGGCGCCCGCTCTCCCCGCGCCCCGAGCACCGCTTCACAGCGGCCCCTGAGCACCGTGCCTCCCCCGGGCCCCGGCCTCACCTGGGTAAGGAGGACCCATCTTGCCTTCGAGGGCTCCGAGACGCATTTAAATCGCGCGCGCCTGGACGCCCGGGCGGCGTAACGGCCGCGTGACGTCCCTCGTGGGCGGGGCCAGAAGTGCGCCTGCGCAGACCGCTCGCTCCGTTGGCGGGGTTCCTGCCGGTGTAGCCGCGGAAGTGAGGCGGCCTGGGCTGAGGGGCCAGGCCCTGGGGCGTACTCCGGGGGAGGCCCATGGAGTGGTTGTCATGGTGTAGATGCCCCCTCCTTCTGAGCGCCAGGCGCGGAACTGTGCGCTGGGGACCGAGCGTCGATCTGGACAGCCGAGGGCTCTGCTATCGCGGCATCCCTAAAAGGGAGGCGGATCCCCGAAGAACCAGGTGTCGCTGGACCGGTACCTTGAGGGCCGCAAAACGCTAAGGAGATGCTAAGTGAAGACGGGGTGTGTGTGGGTTGGAAGCAGCGAGAGCGAGCCCGCTCCGGAATGAGGCACTTTGGGGGGCAGAGGGGAGGACGGGTGCAAAATCAACGTTGTGTACTTTTTAAAATTATTTTTATAAGTGAAGCCCATCGTTTTCACTGATTCTTGTGAAAGTCTCCCTGGAAACCACTCCCCCCTTCCAGTGAAAGGTTGGAGAAGTGAGGGGGGTATAAGGTGCCCCTGTCCGTTCTGCTTCCCCTGGCCAAGGATTGTATTTAGGGGAGAAAGGCCATGGCGATTCCCCCGATAACCCTAAAGCCTCCTGTAATTTTTTTTTTAAGATTTATTTATTTATTTGAAAGACAGAGTTACAGAGAGAGGTAGAGCCAGAGAGAGAGAAAGGTCTTACGTTCCGCTGGTTCACTCCCTAAATGACCACAACAGCCGAAGCTGAATCGATCCGGTGCCAGGAGCTTCCAGGTCTCCCATGCGGGTGCAGGGGCCCAAGGACCTGGGCCATCCTCCATTGCTTTCCCAGGCCATAGCAGAGAGCTGGATGGGAAGTGGAGCAGCCAGGACTTGAACCGGCGCCCATATGGGATGCCGCCACTGCAGGCTGGAGCTTTAACCCACTGCCCTACAGCTCCGGCCTCCCTCCTATAATTTCTTGTCACACACATCTGGAGTCTTTTACAGTGTTTCTTCTCAAGCATGCTGTTGGCATTCAGGGTGAAACAGTTCTTGACTGGGTTGGGGGGAGCTGTTGCCCTCTTTGCAGGATGCTGAACATCCCTGGGACTGTCTGCCCACCACGTGCCACTTGAGCCCCTCATTTTGGCAGCCAAAAGAGGACTGGCGCTTGGTTGGAAGCCACATCCACCCCAACCCCCCTCCCCCCAGTTTTTATTTATTTGAGAAAGAAAAAGCTTCCATCTGCTGGCTCACTCCCCAGATGCCAGCAGAGACTGGGGCTGGGCTGGGTGGAAGCTGTGAACTGGGCACTCAGTAGAGGGCTCCCATGTGGGTGGCAGGAACTCCATCATTTGAGCCATTAGCAGGCAGCTGGAGTCAGGAGCCAAGAGCCAGGCACGCTGGTAGGGGATGCAGGTTATCCCAACAGCAAGGCCAAACACAGTCTCAAAAACCACTTTTCAAACCTGTTTATTTATTGCATGAACTTGTTCTTGTGACCCCCTTCAAGTAAGGCAGTGTGGGATGGGAGAGAAACGGCGTTCACAAGGTTCTTCATCTTAGCCCGAATCAGCATGCAGGAGTGATCCCGATGTCTCTCTCCCACGTTCTCCACACAATTCATTATGCACCAGTTTTCACCTCCTAAAAATCTCTTCAGTACTGCCTCTGTCAGCCACATTACCTTCTCACTGGCCTGCTCTCCCTTGTTTGCCAAGCACACATCCAACCTGTCACCTCCACTGCTTCCTGGAAGGAACTCTAAAGCTCTTCAAAGGCTCCATTGTCCTGGGAATTTCTAAAGGGCCCCTACAGGCTGTGGGCCCCCGGCCTGTCTGGCTTCATCTTGCACTTTGCCCCTCCTTGCTCCCTGCCTGCTGTCATTTGGGCCTTTTTTTTTTTTACAGGCAGAGTGGACAGTGAGAGAGAGACAGAGAGAAAGGTCTTCCTTTACTGTTGGTTCACCCTCCAATGGCCGCCGCGGCTGGTGCGCTGTGGCCGGAGCACCGCGCCTATCCGAAGGCAGGAGCCAGATGCTTCTCCTGGTCTCCCATGGGGTGCAGGGCCCAAGTACTTGGGCCATCCTCCACTGCACTCCCTGGCCACAGCAGAGAGCTGGCCTGGAAGAGGGGCAACTGGGACAGAATCCGGTGTGCCGGCGCCGCAAGGCGGAGGATTAGCCTGGTGAGCCGCAGTGCTGGCCCACTTGGGCCTTCTTTCAGACCCTTGCCAGGCCTTCCGCAACTACGGGACCTCTGCACCCGCACTCTGCTCTATCTGGGATCATCTTCACCCAGTTAGCTCCACTTGGGTTTCAGTTCTCATTACTTCTGGAATACACTCAGGTCTCCTGGAAGGATCAGTAGAACTCACCTCCATTGCAATTGTACATGTCTTGGTGGTATTCATGTCCGTCTCCTCCATAAACAACTAATGCATGAAAACAAAGCTATTTCAGGCCAGCGCCGCGGCTCACTAGGCTAATCCTCCACCTGCGGCGCCAGCGATCCGGGTTCTAGTCCTGGTTGGGGCACCGGATTCTGTCCTGTTTGCTCCTCTTCCAGTCCAGCTCTCTGCTGTGGCCTGGGAAGGCAGTGGAGGATGGCCCAGGTGCTTGGGCCCCTGCACCTGCATGGGAGACCAGGAGGAAGCACCTGGCTCCTGGCTTCGGATCGGCTCAGTGTACCGTCCGTAGCAGCCATTTCGGGGGTGAACCAATGGAAAAGGAAGACCCTTCTCTCTGTCTCTGTCTCTCACTAACTCTGTCAAAAAAAAAAAAAAAAAAAAAAAAAAGGCAAGCTATCTCTGCACACCATTGTTTTCCCAGGGCCTGATGCCGGCCCTGAACACAGCTGCTTCTTAAAAACATATCAAATGGGATGGGGGCTGTGGCGCAGCGGGTAAAGCTGCCATCGTCTATGTCAGCATCCCATGTGGGTACCAGTTCATGTCCCGGCTGCTCCACTTCCAATCCAGCTCTCTGCTAATGGCCTGAGAAAAGCAGCAGAAGATGGCCCACGTGGTTGGGACCCAACCACCCATGTCGGAGACCCAGAAGCAGCTCCTGGTTCCTGGCTTCAGCCTGACCCAGCCCTGGCCATTGCAGCCATCTGGGGTGTGATCCAGAGGTTTGAAGATCTCTCTCCATCTCCCCCTTCTCTGTGTGACTTTCAAATAAATAAATCTTCTAAAAAAATTGAATGAATGAAGCTGGAAGGCAAGTTTAAACCCTGGGTTAGCATGTTAACCTCTGAGCCTCATGTCTTCCCCATCTATAAAATGGGGATAACAATACCCCTCACTTTTTGAAGAATCGGTAGTAGATTAAACTCCCTGAGAGCCTTGGGTCCCTGGCATCTCCCTGGCTGGTTGTCTCTGCCAAGTGCATTTGAAGGAGGACAAGTGGAAACAGGTGATCCTCAGAACTGCCTGTGCATTAGAAGCAGTGTGTTGGGAGGGTGGTAAGTGGCACGGAATCAGGACCCCTGGCAGAGGAAGGCGGGAGTTGAGCCTGTTCTGTGACAGTAACGGCCATTCCTAAGCCGACTGCTTGGGGCGCCCTGTGCACGGAAGCAGAGGCAGCTCCTAACCCAGCATCTCACTGGGCCAGGCCCGCCCAGTGCAGACAAGTCTTTCACCTCCTGCTCTGAATGCGCTCTTTGTTTCAGGGTTAGGTTTATGGGTGGTGCCAAAGGATTAAATGATTTATCAGTGATATCAGTGGTATGCAAAGCTCAATTCCTCTGTACAGAACTAAAATAGTGGGGCCCCTCCCCCACTCCTAGGCAGCCAGAAAACCAGTGCTGGAGCTGGAGCCAGTCCTCTGCATTTTACTCCTCACAGAAATTCTTCCCTCAAATAAACGGGAAACAGCCTTAGTTTAAACAGCAGTGTTATCAACTGACTACTTGAGCAAATGGTCTTTTAGCTTCGAATTCACCCTGACCTCCGGCATGCAGCTGGCTTATATCATAATGCAGTTCCTGTCACAGGACTCCACAGGCTCCATACTGGAAATGGCTTTGCATGCATTATGACCTCTGAGAAAATGCCTTAATTTTTGTATGGAATGTGAAATTCCTGACCTCCTAAAGGCAGGGCTAAGAACCAACATTTCTGTCTTGTAGAATGTCTAAACAGCATACTACCCTTTATCTTGAAATTAACAGAGTGTTTTGCTATATCTTGTTTCACTCCCAAGACCACCCTGGAAGGCAGCCGACCTCCTTCCAGGCTCTGCCACTTCCTAGCTGTGTGATCCTGGGAAAGCTGCATAGCCTTTCTGTGCCTGTTCCCTCCTATGTACCAGGGATTAAACGAATTACCAGATGGACAGCTAAACAGTGCCTGGACCATTGGCAGTGTTCAGTGAACACCATGTACACATATTCCTATTACCATAGCTGCTGTTGCATCCTGGGGGCTAGCCAGGTTTTGTTCTCAAAGAAAGCTCGGTTTCCTAAGCTGGAAGTTTTCCTCTTTAATTGTGAGAATATTCCCAGAGCACTGCAGGTCTGTTCTTTCCATTACTGCCTGGTTGTCTATATCCTTTCTTGCACCCTCTGCCCCACCCAAGCTCTGCTGACTCTTCCCTCTGTAATCTCCTGCCTACTCACAACTTTACATTTTCTTTCTTGTCTCCTATTAAACTAGAAACAACTATGCAGTCCTAGAAATCATACCACGTTCCCCCTTCCTCAACAGACATGTAGAGCTTATACATGTTGCTTGTAGCTACTGAGGCCTTTCATTTGGTTGATATTTTGGTTTGGGCACCATGAGAATTAATAACCTTGATGTTCCTCAACATCTGAATTATTCTTTCCTGGCTACTGTCCATGCCACTGGAAAACCACAGGACAGACTGGTTTAAGGTACATTGAGAAATACCAGGATGTGCTGGATGAAACTACCAGGGTAACATGAATCTGTTGGGAACAGGTATGTAACACCCCTGAGTGTTATTACTGCACAGATTCCAAATTAAATAGAAAATGGTCTTTATTGATTTTAAATCAAAATACCAGCAAATGATTAAGTAAGAAGTAGGTGGAGTTTTTTAAAACACCAAAAGCTCACCAGCATAGAACCGTCACCGATATTACTCGAAAAGTAGTACCTGGTGGATGCCAGCAAGAGCCCCCGTGTTGACTGGCATCAGCTCCTGGGACACTTTAAGTTTTTAAATTGTATTGATTTTTTTTGTTGAGGAGAGAGTGTGGGTCCCACAACAAAAGCCCATAAAGGCCAGTATCTCACACCCCTCCAGGACCACCCCCCTCCCCGCCCTCCAGGTGGGGCCTCAAGTTACAAGTGGGGCCAGGTTCTCCTCCCCAGCAGATCTTCCTGGCGTGGCTGGGTAGGAACAGCACTCGTATTTCCAAAACAACCACACCCATGCCTGTTTCTTAACACGCCCCCTCAGGATGCCCAAGGCTGGAAAGAAGGGGAAAACACACCAGTCACATCCCGAGAACACAGCCTTGTTGGCGCTGGACTGCTCCACAGTGCCTTCCTGACCAGACCTGGCAATGGGCCCGGATTGTGATGAGGCCTCTTTTCAAAACCACAAACACAGCTCAAGTAATCCCTTTGTCATCTTGAAAAGACAATACAAAGACACCACCCGGCTGTGAAAAAACGCAGCCAAACATGTAGCCAAACCTTCTTTCCACTTAACAAACAAGTGGGTCCCACTCAGAAACAAAGGCGTCCCCAGCAAGCCCTGTCCCTGTAAAGGGCTTATAATTTTGCACTCAGAAAGCTATCAGACAGCCGTTTCATTATAGGAAATGCATAGGAAACACTTTATCTCCATTATGGGACAGGTCACTATTGATTTAATGTTTGTTGATGAATCAGTGCTAGTAAATTATTTGGTAGTACAAGAGTTTTTTTTTTTTTTTTCAGATGTATAAAAAAATAGCAATGTCATACAAAAACCAAGAAAATGTAAAATAAACATCTTGGTTACATTTTCCAAATAGTCAAAGGTCTGGAAAATTAGATCCAAAAATATAAGAAGTTGCTGTCACAGTATTTGGGATACAGTGGGAGCGCCATCAGCTTGGATAGGAATGCAGCTGATAGTTAAACAAGGAAAGCAGTTCACAGGGAACACGTTGGGAATTGCCCACGGAAAGGAGTAAGCTGGGATGGAGGTATTCTCTGGTTCGCTTCCAGTGTTGATATAAAAACACAACGTCACAGGCCCCCTCAGGACCTCGACTCCTCAGGAGCAAGATCCTCCCCTAACATCCATTACCCTGGACCTGCGTTGGGTCACGATGAAAGTTAAGTCAGAAAAAGTAACCCTCAGATCCACTCCCTGCAGGAGTGCATCCTCATGAACTCTCACGTACTCTGTAAAGTGGTTCCATCTAGCACAGCCCCCAGTGGCAAGGGCAAGGTGACCTACACAGCTGAGACATGTGAAAAACAAACTCTTGCAGCCTGAGAAATCAGAAATACCTTCTCCCATTGTGGGTGTGTGGTTTTTGTTTGTTTGTTTTTGTTTGTTTTTTAATGGTCTTTACATTAAGATGCCCCAGCCAATGGGGCACAGGGCAGGGTCTTCACCTGGGTCAGAAGGTTGTGGAACTCTTCCACTGCCTGTGAATGTGCCACGGGGTTTAGCACCAGGTGTTGGAAGAGATTGACAGGCTCAGCATTCCGGAATGTCTTTGGGATCGGGATGGTCAGGGGTAGGAAGCTGTTACCAATGAGGAAATGATGGAGGGACCTTTGCTGGAGGCCACGGCCCAGGAACCAAAGAATGTCCTGCAGCCGCTGAGAGAGCATGTTGTGCTGCCAGTCCGTGAGGGGTAACCGCAGCAGCAGGTGCATCAGGGCCGTCTTGAAGTGGTAGCAGGTGAGGATGGGGCGGGATGCCCCGGGAGGTAAGCTCCGATGATCCTGGAGACTCAAAATGATCTGGAGGCACTTGAGGTGACAGGTGTTCTCGGGGGCAAAGCGCCCTACCAGCTTCAGAAACAAGTGCTCACAGGCCGCGAAAGACTCGGGCCAGTCCACACTGGTGAGCTGGTCCTGGTCAGGGGCCTGACTCACCAGGTAGACCAAGGTGTCTTCCCGCTGCACCCCCAACACCAGATGCATTGAGAGAACGCGGCCCGAGCGGTAGTCCAGCCTGAGCTTGCAGGAGGTGGTGGATGGTGGGAGACTGAGCTTGAAGTCATACTTGTGGGCCACGAGGGCCCAGGCATTGCCCACCATGTTGCGGAACCACTGCACGGTCTTGCACACATCCAGGTGGGAGCCGCTGCACAGAGCTGCCTTGATGGAGCTGCCACACTTCCCCAGCCCCGCCGAGTGGTCCCTGTGGTGGTGCACGAGGCACAGCACGTCACCTAGGAGCTTCTCCCGCTTGCACACGCACTCCGACTCCACCAGCACGCTGCCGCAGCGGTGGCCTAGGGCCGGATCCCTCATCTCCAGGACAAACATGGTGCCTTGTGGGGGGACAATGGGCACCAGGACATCAAATGTGTGGGTCTCATGGAGGGTTCCCCATTTTTCAAAGGCAGCGCCAATGCCCAGGCAGTCCTCCAACTGGGGGTGAGCCTCCCTGCGGCTGAGCACCCTACAGGCCTCAATGAGATCATCCACAAAGCTCTCCACGAACTCACAGGTGCTCGGCAGGTCACGGATGGCGTTCTGGACATAGTGTTTGTAAAAGGATTCCAGGGCCTCCTGCGAGGGGAAGTCGGTGAGCCAGTTGTAGGAGGTGACAGGCACGATCCGGACTTCCTCCTCTTCCTCCTCCTCACTGCTGGATTCAAAGGCCGGCTCATGCTGCATGTTCTGCCGCAGGAGCTCAAAGATGAGGAACAGGCAAAAGAGGCCAGCATTCCACGCGTTGCCCAGCATCCAGCTCAGTGGCCCCTCCTGGCTGTCGGCCCGGAACGGCCACCCCATGTCTTTCTTCCCCAGCACCAGATGGTCGTCGGAAGTGTCTCCCCTCCAGAAGTTCTCGGCCTTCTGCTTCTGCTCCGCTGCCCGCTTTCTCTCTTCAAACTCTGTCTCTAACTGGCGCATCTCCTCGCTCATCCGCTTCTCCAGCTGCCGACTTCTGGCTAACGTGTCCAGGTCCATCCGGTCACTGACCAACAGGGGGTGATGCACCACGTACATCACTGCCAAGAACAGCAGGCTTATCACAGCCATGGAAGCCTCTGCATCTGAGAAGTAGGAGGGTGGGAGTCAGTGATCTCCACGAATCCGCTCTCCAGTGCACGTGCCCCCGAGCCCTGGCACCCCAAGTCCTGGACGCCGACTACTCAAAGAGCTGGGCCCGGCCAGAGCAAGAGGGGTCTGCCAGGAGGAGGTCTGGGAGAAAGCGACAGCAGGAGGTGCCACATTCAGTCTCTGCACTGTTTTCCTCTGCATGGTGCGGGTGGTATTTAGGCTTCCAGAGGGTGGACATGGGACTGTACTGATTCCTGTGCAGGTGGGGAGGGGGCCCTTGCGGTGGGGTGGCCTCACCAACTCATCAGTCCACCAGGGGCACCTGAAACGCCCTGCTGATCCCCAGCCTGCTCCCACGGGCAGAAAGCACTGAGCTGGCCTGAGCCGCACCTTTCCTGGCTCCAGGCAGCCAGTCCTAGGCTGCTGCTGTGGCATCCCACTTCCTCTGTGACTTCACAGTCTTCATTCTGCTCACCCAGTGTCATCACACCATTCACCCACCCCCATCCTCCCACCCCCGCCCAGCGGGAGCCAGAACGGCACAGCACTGCCGGCTGCTTGCTCCCGTGCCCACTTGAGGACTCCAAGGGGCTGCTCGACGCCCTGTAAGTCCAGGTCCACTTCTAAGCCCTGGAAGCTGCCTGCAGAACCAGTGCCCAGGGCCCACCTGACAGGGGCTAGCGGCTGCTTCCCCACCCACCACTGGAGCCTGAAGCTTCTAGCATTCACCCCAAAAGTTCTCAAGCTACCTGGCTTACCGAGACTCATGAAGGGCAGTTCCGTGTGGACACTGAAGCCAGGTGGGGATTCTCCTCCCTTTGGACCTCGGGCCTTGACAGGTGTCACCGCCCCCTCCAGGAGCCCTGTTAAAATGTGCAAGGTACCTGGGGGATTTGGCTCAGTGCAGAGCCCTCCACTCGCCCCTTCCACCTTTATAACCAACCCAAATTCCAGAGAGTTATACTCTCATCCTCCCAACCAAGCCAAATCAAGGACTCGGCCCCTCTCAGGGTTTCTTCCTCCCCGGCTGGGGGCAGGTTACTCACTGTTGGTGTCAGCAGGGTCACAGTCTTACAGAGACCGCGCGGCCTGACCGCCTCTGCCTCCTTCCTGGCGCGGTGGGGGCTCCCGGTTCATCGCCCGGACAGCCCACGAGAGTGGCCTCTGTCCTCTCTCCCAGGGCCCAGACCATGTCTGTAGGAGCGTCCGTGCTCAGCGAGGCCCCGGCGATCCACACCACGCGGCGCGCGGTTCCGAGGGCGCCCGCCTGCCGCGGAGGCTCCCGCCGCCCGGGGCCCGCCCCGCCCCGCTCCACCCCGCAGGCTCCGCCCCACCCAGACCCCGGTGGCGCCGCGTGCGTCGGGAGCACCGCCCCGCGTCCAGGCCCCCGGGCCCCCGGGCCCCCGGCCCCTTGCAAAGCGCACGCGCCCTCTGCCCGCATCCCGGGCACCCCGGGTTTGGGGTAGGGCCGGGGTGGGCGGCGGCCACACCCTGGCAGCAGCCGGGCCTCCCCAGGGTGGCACAAAGGGGCCGCTGCAGCGCCTGCTGTCAGCTGCACTGTCGGTTCGTGGGGGATCTAATCACGGCGCGGATCGATGCGTGAGGGTGACGGTGGCGAAGCTAGGAACTGAGCAGGGGGAGAGCCATTCTCACGTCAGGGTGGCTCTGAGCAGAAACGGTTCAGAAGAGGTGTGTTTTCACAGCCCGAAATGTGCCTCACCCAGGGGTCTTTCCCTTTTCTCAAAGGGACAATCAGGAAACGACCAGGCAGCACCCCAAGACTGGGAGAAGTTGCCTGGCCTGCCAGTCTGCAGCCCACAGGGAGCCGCGCGGAAGACACGGAGTGCAAAAGAGAACTTTACACCGCTGGACCGGCCTTGCCACGCCTCAAGAAATACCAAGAGAGTTTCCTGAAAGGGATCTAAAGAGCCTCGGAAGAGCCCCGTGTCTTCCTGTCCCCTGGCAGCCAGGGGAGGAGAAGAGGAAGTGATGAACCCTAGATGCTGACTCACTACAGCCCTCCTCCAGGTGACGTTTCGAGTCCCCTACTGAGTGGGATGCAGAGGGAGCCCCCAACAACGGGGCAGAAACTTCCCGAAAGGCTGGCTGACCGAGTCATGGGAAGGAGACAAAGTCTCCTGGCTGACAGCGGCTGAGGTTCCAGGTACTTTTCAGATGATGAGAAGTAGACCACAGGTTTATGAGCATTAGTACGATAATGAAATCTTTTCATTCACGACATGACAATGTCAGCATGGGGAAAAAATGCACTTTAGAGTGTGCAAAACCAACAGTGATTAAAGCCATGTGTTTAAAGATGTTATGTTCACAGTCAAGTAAGGGTTTGCTTTGCAATTGGTTACTGGGACCAGCATTGTGGCACAGCTGGTTAAGCTGCTGCCCTACCATGCTGGCATCTCATATGAGCACTTGTTCAAGTCCCGGCTGCTCCACTTCCAATCCAGCTCCCTGCTCACATGCCTGAGAAAGCAGTAGAAGATGGCCCAAGTACTTAAGCTCCTGCCATCTACATGGGAGAATTCTGGCTGGAGTTCCAAGCTCCTGCCTTCAGCCTGGCTCAGCTCTGGTTGTTTCAGCCATTTGGGGAGTGAACCAGTGGATGGAAAAATCTCTGTCTCTTTCTCTCTCCCTTTGTAACTCTGCCTTTTAAAATAAATCAAAATAATGCTTTTTAAATATTTACTTTTTATTTATTTGAAAAGCAGTTACAGAAAGAGGTGGAGAGTCAGAAGGAGAGATATCTTCCACTTGCTGGTTCACTCCCCAGATGGCCACAACGGCCAGGGCTGAGCCAGGCAGGAGCTAGGAGCTTTTTTGAGGTCTCCCACGTGGGTGCAGGGGCCCATGCACTTGGGCCATCTTTTACTGCTTTCCTAGTCGCATTAGCAGGGAGCTGAATCGCAAATGGAGCAGCTGGGACTCGAACCAGCGCCCATATGGGATCCTGGTGCTGCAGGCTACCTGCTGTGGCCTTACCTGCTACGCCACAACACTGGCTTCTAACACTTTTATTATTATTATTATTATTATTATTATTTACTTGAAAGAGCCACAGAGAGAGGTAGAGACAGAAAGAGAGGTCTTACATCTGCTGGCTCACTTCCCAGATGGCCACAACAGCCAGAGCTGCACCTGTCCAAAGCCAGGAGCCAGGAGCTGCACCTATCCAAAGCCAGGAGCCAGGAGCCAGGAGCCTCCTCTGGGTCTCCTACATGGGTGCAGGAGGCCAAGCACTTGGGCCATCCTCCACTGCTTTCCCAGGCCACAGCAAACAGCTGGGACTAGAACCGGTGCCCATATGGGATGCCAGCACCTCAGACAAGGGCCTTAATCCACTGTACCACAGCGCTGGCCCCTAACACTTTTTTTTTTAAGATTTATTTTTTATTTATTTGAAAGGTAGAGTTAGAGACGAAGAGAGGGAGAGATGCACACACACACACACACACACACACACACAGAGAGATCTTCCATCTGCTGGTTCACTTTACTCCCTAAGTGGTCTCAACAGCCAAAACCAGGAGCCTGGAGCTTCTTGAGGTCTCCCGTGTGCAGGGGCCCAAACTCATGGGTCATTTTCTGCTGCTTTCCCAGGCATGTTAACAGGGAGCTGGATTGCAAGTAGAGCAGCCCGGAACTCGAAATGGGGCTATATGAGATGCTAGCATTGCAGGGGGCAGCTTTACCCACTAGGCCACAATGCTGGCCCCAAAATAGTTCTATTAAATAAAATAAAGAAACTAGCATTGTGGTGTAGTGGGTTTAGCTGGTGCCTGCAATGCTGGCATCCCATATGAGTGCTGGTTCGAGTCCCAGGTGCTCTACTTCCGATCCAGCTCCCTGCTAATATGCCTGGGAAAGCATCAGAAGATGGGCCAAGTGTTTGGGCCCCTGCACCTGGGAGATCTGAAGAAGCTCCTGGCTCCTGACTTCAGCTCTGCCCAGCCCTGGCTGTTGCAGCTAATTGGAGGGTGAACTAGCGGATGGAAGATCTGTGTGTATGTGTGTGTGCATGTGTGTGTTAATTCTGCCTTTCAAGTAAATAAATAAATCTTTAAAAGAAAAAAATTTAAATGTTTTTATAGAAGGTTAGAGGATGGTTATTAATTCATGGTCTGCACAGAAAGGGAGTTGGTTGCCACAAGGAATTAAAGACTCCAAGCTGATCTTAAGTCTTCAAGATCAGACTTAAATCCACAAAAAGCCTAGTGGTAACAAACATTTCTTGGCCTGTTTTTTGTTCTTTTTCAGCATGATAGGAAGTGATGGTTGGCTTAGGCAGAGGGATTAATAGGAAACCAAGTCATTTGGACACTTCATTCATGCTAATGAGTGATAATACACAGTGACACGTGGAAGAAAACTGTGGTAGTCACATTTTAACAATTCAACTCTACTGTAGTGGGAACTTATCCTTGTTGAGCAAGGAAACACGGTTGTTTGTCCCCCTCCCATACAAGTATTTTATCACTTAAAAAAGTCAGGACATTATAAAGTACATAGAGTTGATATCTACATACTACCCTTGATTCTGCCACTTGACCATCAGAACCTAAAGCTTGCTTAAAACTATGAGCCTTTTGGTGACGCTAGTGGTCAACGACTCCAGAATGTTGGCAGAAACACCAGTAATCAATTTTTAAAAACAAGGCAAAATGATTTGGAGTGGTTTTCCATGGCTTTTGACTAATTGATGGGTATTATTGATACTATTCACTGTTGCTATATATTCCAGGAGATAATGCAGAACTTCAGTTAGTGAAACCTTAGACATCATAAATAGTGTGCATGAAGCAATTACAGGGAAGAATATTCAAAGGAGATGAGAAAACAGTAATTCAGTATAACCTGAACTTGAATCTGCTAAATGTGTCACAGTTTAAAAATGTGTATGTAGCAGAAAAAGACTTAGATGGGAAAATTTACAAAGTTTGTGAAAATATAAGATGTTTAAAGCCTAAAATTTTTCATTGTATTATTCATCAGTACATACCTTGTGGAGAATGTTTTAATCTATCATTTGTTAGTGAATCAATAATGTCAATGAGGACCTTTGTTCTCTCCCATGGACCTAAGTTATTAATTCAAGGGCCAGCGCTGTGGTGTAGCAAGTAAAGCTGCTGCCTACAGTGCTGGCATTGCATATGGGTGCTGGTCATCCCTCTGCTGTGGCCTGGGAAAGCAGTAGAAGGTGGCCTAACCCCTTGGGCCTCTGCATCTGAGTTGGGGGCCAGGAGAAAGCTCCTGGCTCCTGGCCTCAGATCAGCCCAGCTCTGGCCATTACAGCCATCTGGGGAGTCAATTAGTGGATGGAAGACCTCTCTCTCTTGCTCTCTCTCTCTCTCTCTCTCTCTTTCTCTTTATCTACCTCTCTGCAACTCTACCTTTCAAATAAATAAATAAATCTTTAAAAAGTCACTAATTCAGTGAATTTTCTCAGGAATAGAAGTTAGATATCCTGACTTGCCCTATCACACCATCAGATCAGTGGCTTAGAAGTATTAACATTTCACTGTGATTTTTTTTTTAAGCTAAGGGCTGAAATTCAAAGTTTTCTGAATTAGAACTGCTCTCAACCACTATTTTTTTTAAAGATTTATTTATTTATTTGAAAGGCAGAGTTACAGAGAGGCAGAGGCAGAAAGAGAGAGAGGTCTTCCATCTGCTGGTTCAGTACCCAGATGGCTATAATGGAGCTGTGCCGATCTGAAGCCAGGAGCTTCTTCTGGGTCTCCGACATGGGTGCAGGGGCTCAAGGTCTTGGGCCATCTTCTAGTGCTTTCCCAAGCCATAGCAGAGAGCTGGATCGGAAGTGGAGCAGCTGGGACTCGAACCTGTGCCCATATGGGATGCCGGACTGCAGGTGTCAGCTTCACCTGCTATGCCACAGTGCTGGCCCCTCAACTACTATTGCTTCTTAATGGATTTAATCTAAAACTTCAAGAAAAAAAAGTGTTGTAAATGAAATTTATCATGTGAAGTCATTTCTTCAACTAACTCTGAATCATAGGAAATACCAAGTCAAAAAAAGCAAGGCCTGCTAATGATGCTGACAGACAGAGGTAGTGGCACAAGTACTCGGGTCCTTGCTACAAATGGGAAACCCAGATTGAGTTCCAGGCTCCTGGCTTTGGCCTGACCCAGGCCTGGCTATTGCGAATATTTGGGAAATGAACCAGCAGAAGGGAGATTTATATTTCTTTCTTTTTTCTTTTCTTTTTGACAGGCAGAGTGGACAGTGAGAGAGAGAGAGACAGAGAGAAAGGTCTTCCTTTTCCGTTGGTTCACCCCACAATGGCCGCTGCGGCCAGCACGCTACGGCCAGTGCACTGCACTGATCCAAAGCCAGGAGCCAGGTGCTTATCCTGGTCTCCCATGGGGTGCAGGGCCCAAGCACTTGGGCCATCCTCCACTGCCCTCCCGGGTCACAGCCGAGAGCTGGCCTGGAAGAGGGGCAACCAGGACAGAATCTGGCGCCCCGACCAGGACTAGAACTCGGTGTGCGGGCGCCGCAAGGTGGAGGATTAGCCTAGTGAGCCATGGCGCCGGCCTATATTTCTCTCTCTCTCTCTCTCTCTCTCCCTCCCTTCCCTCTCCCTTTCTTTAACAAATAAAAATAAATTTAGAAAGAACTCCATCCCACATAAAATTACAACTGATATACTTTCTGATTTCAAACTATACTTCTAGCAGTTTGTCAGACATCAGTGTTAGGACAAAGGAAAATCCTGTATTGCAAAGCTTATCTGGGGCCAGTGCTCTGGCGTAGCAGGTAAAACTGCCACCTGCAATGCTGGCATGCTATTTGGGCACCAGTTCATGTCCCTACTGCTCCACTTCCTATCCAGCACCCTGCTAATGGTCTGGGAAAAGCAGCGGAAGATGTATTTGGGCCTCTGCACCAAGGAGGGAGACCTGGAAGAAGCTCCTGGCTCCTAGCTTTAGCCTGGCCTTGCTCCGGCTTTTGTAGCCATTTGGGGAGTGAACCAGTAGATGGGAGACCTCTGTCTCTCTCTCTCCCTTGCTCTCTGTAACTTTGACTTTCAAATAAATAAAATATTTTTTAAAAAAGTTGATTTAACTTTGCAACTGAAGGCCTTCCATCTAACCTTCAGTTATAAGTGATTAATCTGCAAATGTAATGCCACACTAAAAGGTAAACCTAATTATAGAAACACTTTCCAAGCAATGAACATGCTGAATTAAAATCACATGCTCATGGACTAACATCAGTATTTGGTGCACCTGTCTGTATGAAGACATTTTCAAGAAGAAATATGTAAAATCTCCTTAAAGATGAGCATTAACAGATGAATGCTCACAATCATTTTGGAATGACAGGAAACAATAACACTGAAGCCCAGTTAAGGGGCGGGCTTACAGCTTAGCAGTTAAGACCCCCACATCCCATTCAAAATGCCTGGGTTTGAGTCCAGCTTCTGCTTCCGATCCAGCTCTCTGCTAACGTACACTCTTGGAGGCAGCAGGTGATGGCTCATGTACCTGGATCCCTGCCACACATGTGGGAAACCCAGACTGAACTCCTGGCTCCTGACTTCAGCATGGACTAGCCCTGGCTCTGTGGCTATTTGGTGAATGAACCAGTGGACGGCAGAGCTCACTCTATGTCCCTTTCTTTCTTGTTCTCACTCTGCCTTTCAAATACATTTAAAATTTTTAAAAGAAACACAGTGACATGTTTTTTTTTCCCAGATTTATTTGTTTATTTGAAAGTCAGAGTTAGAGAGAGAGAGAGAGAGAGAGAGAGATCTTCTATCTTCTGGTTCACTGCCCAAATGACTGCAATGACTGGTGCTGGACCAGGCCATGGCAGGAGCCTGGACTCCTGGTTCTCCCACATAAGAAGTAGAGGCCAAGCGCTTGGGCCGTCTTCTGCTGCCTTCCCAGCTGCATTAGCAGTGAACTGGATTGGAAGCAGAGCAGCTGGAATTCAAACCGGTGCTCATATGAGATGCTGGTATCACAAACAGCTTAATCCACCATGCCACAATGCTAGCACCCAAGTGACAAGTTACTTCCAAAAAAAGAATTCCATTCTTCTCATTAGTAGATCCATATTAAAAAACTGTACTCAAGGGGCCGATGCTGTGGCGCAGTAGGTTAATCCTCCGCCTGTGGAGCCAGCATCCCATATGGGTGCCGATTCTAGTCCCGGCTGCTCCTCTTCCAATCCAGCTCTCTGCTATGTCCTGGGAAAGCAGTAGAGGATGGCCCAAGTCCTTGGGCCCCTGCACCCACATAGGAGACCAGGAAGAAGCTCCTGATCGGTGCAGTTCCAGCTGTTGCAGCCATTTGGGGAGTAAACCAGCAGATCAAAGACCTTTCTTTCTGTCTCTCCCTCTCACTGTCTGTAAATCTACCTCTCAAATAAATAAATAAAATCTTTTAAAAAACTGTACTCAAATGATTATGTTCTGAATTTTGTAAAAGATTTTGTGGGGGCCAGCGCTGTGGCATAGTGGGTAAAGCTGCCCGGCATCCCATATAGGTGCTGGTTCAAGACCCGGCTGCTCCACTTCCAGTTCAACTCTCTGCTATGGCCTGGGAAAGCAGTATAAGATGGCCCAAGTGCTTGGGCCCCTGCACCCATGTGGGAGACCTGGAAGAAGATCCTGGCTCCTGGCTTCGGATCGGCACAGCTCCGGCATTGCAGCCATTTGGGGAGTGAACCAGTGGATGGAAGACCTCTCTCTCTCTCTCTCTCTCTCTCTCTCTCTCTCTCTGCCTCTGCCTCTCTGTAATCTCTGCCTTTCAAACAAACAAATAAATAAATCTTAAAAAAAAAAAAGATTTTATGGAAAGCTGTCTTCTCTTATTAACTGAGTGCATACAGAAACTCCTTGATTCTGCCTCTTGGTTTATGTTGGGGCTCAAAAAGGAATACCCCTGAGTATGGCACTTTGTCAGGCTGAGCTCTTTGACTCAAAGCAGGCCTTGGAAGCAGCCTCAGAACCAAGGTCTCCCTGACCTGCCATCTGCCTTACCCATTACATTATTCTCTCCCAAACAAGCCATAGGAACCATGATTCCTCATCCCCAAGGCTGGTCATTAAAAATGAGAGCATGTTTTCTTTCCCCAAAGTAAGCCATCAAAACTAGAAGCATTACCATAACCTTCCCCCACATTTCTATCTCAGAGTTACTCATTAAAAAAGTCTCTCGCCTACCATAGTCTGGTATTAGCTCATAAGACCCTTATTCCAGAGGTGTTTTGTCCCACACCCAGCAAGATCTACCACAAACAGGTTAAGAAGAATCCAAACAGACAGGCCCTGCTGGGTTTTTCCACTCAGCTTATCACTCTTCGATCACTCTTCTTGTCCCCTCCCATTTCTACATGGCTGTCCCTGCTTCCTCAGGGAAGTACCCATAAAGTAGACATTTCCCCTTGTGTTTCTGTGTCTTCACTCTAAAGGCTCCAGACTAAGCACCCACCTGGGAATCAAACCCAGGTACTCCACTGTGAGACATGCGCATCATAACTACAAGACTAACCACCTGCCCTTTAACATTTTAAAAATTCACCAGGGCAGTCATTTGGCATGGCAGTAAATACACCTCTTGGGACGCCTGCATCCCATGTCAGAGTGCCCAAGTTCAAGTTCTGGGTCTGCTACGGATTCCAGCTTTCTGGTAACGTGCACCCTGGGAGGTAGCATGATGGCTCAAGTACTTGGGTCCCTGTCACTATGTGCAGACTGGGATTGAGTTCTGAGTGCCTGGTTTCAGGTTGGCCCATTCAGAGCTGTTGTAGGCTTTTGGGAAGTGAACTGGTGGATGGAAAACCAATCAATCAGGGCCATTGTTGTGGCACAGTAGGTTAAGCTCCGCCTGTGATGCCAGCATCCCATATGGGCACCAGTTCAGATCTCAGCTGCTCCACTTCCAAGCCAGCTCCCTGCTAATGCACCTGGGAGAGCAGCAGAAGATGATCCAAGTGTTTGGGCCCCTGAACCCATGTAGGAGACCTGGAATAAATAAATAAATCTTATAAAAAATTATCCTTCATCCTTTTGTATCAGGATCCCCAGCACTAATGGACAGTATAACAAAGCTGGGAAACTGAGGAGTGTTTAATTAGGGACTAAAAGGTTAAACGTTCAGGGAAAATTACAAAGAATGAGTGCAATTTGGAGCTCATCTCTGCTTGAGTGTGAAGGGGACAGGCCAGACTGTTAACTGAAATGGAAGAGGGTGGCCCTGTGGAGAAGGGGTCTGAAAAGAAAGGGTAGCATTCAACCACAAACCAGAAAACAGTCAACCCTCTGGGACCCCATAGGAAAACAGTGGGGTTCTCTCATGCTTCTCTCCCACCTCCTGCTGATGCCTTCAATGGCTAAAACCCACTGGGAGTCACAGGACAAGCTGGGTGCCAGGGCACACAGTAGGGAGGAGAAAGGAAAGGGAGCATCTTGCCAGGGCCAGTGGAGAACTTGCAGCCCAGTCACTGCCAAGGTTAACACACTTATCTCAGATAAGCGCCAGTCTGTGAGTTCACCATCTGAGACACCAACACTCCGGGTACAATCCAGACACATTCAGATCCACATGTTTAAGACTGGATTCAGGCTCACCATGCTAATTTCCTCCAAAGGGAATCTCACCTCCTTGGAGGGTGACAGCACAAGATGTCAGGAGAAGGAGGCCTGGATCATCTCTTTGACATCATCAAGCAGGGAAGAATTAGATATTTCTCAAGCGATGTTGGAAGAATGTGAAGAGGCCACTTGGAAGAGGAGACTCCCAGTGCTAATGAATGGTGCGATGCATGGGAAAGTAATAATAATCATTGGGATAAGCTCAGCCCCACAGGTCTCTGAAGATATTTTAAAATGATTCATAAATCATAAAATTTGTGTAAAAGATTCTTGTGATGCACTCATGAGTTTTCAGTATTTTTGCAATTAAATCACTGCACACTTATCTCACTTATGCTTTGGTATATTACACAATATACTTTTTTTTTTAACAGGCAGAGTGGATAGTGAGAGAGAGAGACAGAGAGAAAGGTCTTCCTTTTGCCGTTGGTTCACCCTCCAATGGCCTCCACGGCTGGCGCGCTGTGGCCGGCGCACCGCGCTGATCCGAAGGCAGAAGCCAGGTGCTTCTCCTGGTCTCCCATGGGGTGCAGGGCCCAAGCACTTGGGCCAGTCTCCACTGCACTCCCGGGCCACAGCAGAGAGCTGGCCTGGAAGAGGGGCAACCGGGACAGAATCCGGTGCCCCGACCAGGACTAGAACCTGGTGTGCCGGCGCCGCTAGGTGGAGGATTAGCCTATTGAGCCGCGGCGCTGGCCACACAATATACTTATAAAAACATAGGAATGCGCTATAGATTATAGATCCTGCAATTTTATTTATTAACATAAGAAATAAATCATAGCCTGTTAAGTGGGAAAAAAGCAGGTTACAAAAAACATGCTATGACTTAATCTGTGTGTGTGTGTGTGTGTTTTCTATGCCTAGGGCAAATTTTCAAAGGGCAGATCCCAAAATGTTTACAGCGATCTTCTGAGGGCGGCAGGATTGGTTTGCAGGTGACTTTTCTTAAAAAATAAATAAATAAATACATAAATAAATAAAATAAAATAAAATCTGGGGCCAGCGCTGTGGTGCAGCAGGTTAAATTCCTGGCCTGAAGCACCCACATCCCATATGGGTGCCAGTTCTAGTCCTGGCTGCTCCTCTTCCGATCCAGCTCTCTGCTATGGCCTGGGAAAGCAGTAGAAGATGGACCAATTCCTTGGGCTCCTGCACCCACGTGGGAGACCCAGAAGAAGCTCCTGGCTTCTGGTTTCGGGTTGGCACAGCTCCGGCCGTTGCGCCAACTGGGGAGTGAACCAGCAGATGAAAGACCTTTCTCTCTGTCTCTACCTCTTTCTATAACTCTCTTTCACATAAATAAAAAAAATCTTTTTTAAAAAATCTAAGCCTTTTTCCAACTGTCTATTTAGCAATGGGCAGGTACTCTTTATACATACAAAAATAAAAATGTCCAGTTTGAACAGGCTAATTTTCCAAAGCCCTTTTGTACCTTTGTTGACTGCAGCACAGAACACCTTTTCTAAAGGAACAGGTGCACCCATGATGGCGTGTTTAACCCACGGCTGCAGGACAGCTTTGTGCCCTGACTGCCTCTCCCCACCTGCTTTCTGGAGCCCATGAGCTGCCTCCCTGCCTCTGCCCTCTCCACCTGGGATGACCTCACCACCTTCAGGAGTGGGACTCACTCAGGAAGCACCAGTCCCCGCAGCAGAGTTTGGGGAGTCTCAACGAGGCAGGAGCCCACTTGCGATGTTGCAGGAGTTCAAGTGCTGGTGTTGCAGGAGCTCATCACCAAGAAATGTGGCGGATTCTTCTTCTTGCAGGATTCTTCAGATGTCTCCTCTCCCGTTGGGTCACACAAGTTCTCTGCGGGATTTGTCAAGTGTTGCCGTCTTTTGTATTGCCGCTTCTCTGCTCTGGTCTGGTTCTTGTTCTCTTGACCATGAAGAATGACCACAGAGTAAACAAAGTGAAGGCTGCATGCTTATTCAAAGAGGCAGGGAAAGCTGTTCTGCAGCTGGAGACCCTGCCCACTAAGGACTGCCCGCCCTGAAGGGCTGCATCCCCTCACCTGCCTCTCAAGACTGCCTGGCTCCTATTTTTGTATGTTTCCGAAGGAGGAAGTTCATCTGATTGGTCGAGGTCTATGCTAATGAGGTATTCTACATGAATCAGCAAAGCCTGAATGTGATTGGCTCAGCCAGGAACCAATCAGCAGTGGCCTAACATGGAGCTCACGTTTCATGGGGAAGTTAGGAGTGTGCTCAAACAGGTCCAGGATGATTGGTGGACGGAACACTGAACAGTATATTGTGTATGTTTCTCCCTTCTTCCTCCCACCCCAGGGCTCCTGGAGGATTACCTCATGTATCTTCTTCCTTGCCTTTCCAGGGGTCCCTGGAGGCTATCAGTGAGATGCTGGTGACCTTCCCAAAAGAGCAAGAAAATGCCAGCCAGCTCACCCACTCTGCTACACAGAGAAGCCGAGGAGTTGTGCCCAGGTGGAGCATTCTCGTGTGCCTGCCCTGGGCCCGACATGCTTGAGCTCTCATTTTTTGTGTTACAAAATGGATTGCCATTGGTGCGTTGGCTGTGTCATTTTTGTTAGTGGCAACGAGGGGTTCGTGGCTTGCAGGATAATCAGCCTGCAGCTTCACTGACTTGTGATTAGGACAAGTAAAGGAGATAACAGGAAGGTGTAGTCCTGGAAAAGAAAGTGCCTCCCAGAGAAGTGGTTGGCCAGGCTTCTATAGCAAGGGTTAGGGCACTGTCCAAGATGTAGCACAAGAGAAGGGGGAAGGCCCCTGCTGCTCATACCAGGCAAGCGACATACATCTTCATGCTTCTTCATATATGTGTGCTCAGCACATGGCGGAAAGTCCCCTCCTCTGGGCACAGGATTTAGTATAAAGAGGAAGAAGTTCAGTTTAGGCTATAAAGATCTGACTCAGCCTGTTTCCTTGCAGTTTTAACAAGTCCTTGGGTTCCAGTGGCCTGGCCCCACTGAGTACACTGTTGTAAGATGAACTTTCAACATCCTCTGAAAACCAAGCTCAAGCAAAAAA